AGACTGGTTTCTACTGCCACCTGATTTCATATCAAATAGTTGTGAACAAAGTACTAATTGCCTGTTTTATAAAGGTTAGATATGATTGTTTTAATCTTGCGCCAGATTCCTTTCTTTCGAGGATGGGCAAATCTATGAAAAATCAGCATATTATTGTGGGTATGTATAAACGCCATGCGAGCAAGCTAAAGGTCACTTTTCGGTAGTTACACCAACGGATTTAAACGCCTGTGGCAATTTTACTCTAAAGATATCTATGTTTATTAAGTGCCAACGAAATAACTTGTTCCTCAATAAAATGGCTGACGAGACCTTTGTTACTCCTCTGTGTTTCGGTATCCAGGGGACCTACTGATCGTTCGCCCTGGATGTCTGTCTGCTCGTAAGCTCCCCAATATATAAAAAATAAAATATTACCTCAATTTATTTACGTTTTGATGTATATTAAAATAGATGATTCGCAGTTGTTTAAAGTTGTGCGTGCATTACGCTTGTTTCGTGCTTGCAGTAAACTAATTTTATTGAACTCGTTACACAAATACATTATTAAGCAATTAATTAAACTCGTTAATTCTACGTCTTGCATTTGTTATTGTCTATGAATCTTTGTACACTTTTGAGAATATTTTTTAAAATTTTTTTGCTATAAGTCTCCTGTGTCATCATTGGCAGTAGATTCAATTATTCAATAAACAACGGGTTTTTTTTGAGATGGGACTCAAATGGCTTTGAAATAAGTGTCAGACTCTTTCTAACTAAAACCCACCCCGTTCCTTCGCATTCTCCATGCCGGAATACGTTATTGTGCTTAACCCACAACCCCAACTGCACGAAACACTGCCTCGAGGCTAACCCTCTTATATTTATTTTGGATTTTTTTTATGGTATAAGTCAGCAAACGAGCAGACGGATTACCTGATGGTAAGCAATCGGCGCCGCCCATGGACACCCGCAATACCAAAGGAGTTACGAGTGCGTTGCCGGCCTCTTGGGGATAGGGGTTGCGGATATAAGGATTGGGAAGGCATAGGGGAAGGGGAGGGATTGGGCCTCCGGTAACCTCACTGTGGGTTGTTTCACGCTGGTATTCTGTGAGGCCGTGGTATCACTCCGGTCGAGCCGACCTATTCGTGAAATTAATAATTCTCATGAGTGTACAAAGATTCATTTATAGACAATAACAAATGCAAGACGTAGAATTTACGAATCAAGGGATATCTTAAATTGTTTGAATTATAACAATTTATTAAGTTAATATTTATAGTTTGAAATTGTTTTTCGTCCATCAATATTATCGCGTTACGAAATTAATTTAACTGCCCTTTGTTTTGATTTTTCTGCCTCCCTAATCTTATTGAGAATATACCACTAATTGATTCTCAAGGCAATGACTGGTAATTTGAATTGATATTAGCTGATTGCTATTCGTATCACGCTCAGCCATACTTATAAAGCATCTCTGATGTGATGAGGTTACGCAGCATGGAAGACACTTTAATAGGTTTAGCTTGCCATTTGCCGCATAAAGAGCGAGCTAAGTACATATAGTTATAGTTATGGGATTTGATATACAAACTCATATAAACCTGTGACTCCTCTAGTGTTTTTGAAGTCCATATTATTACAATTAAAAGTATTATATAGATATTATGTTTATTTCAACACTAACTATTCTCGCGCGGTTTCACCCGCTGCTCGGCTCCATTTAATTGTAGCCTGATGTTTTATAGCCTATAGCACTCGGGAACAATGTCGTTATCTATCAGTGAAAGAATTTTGGCAATCCGACCAGCGGTTTCAAAGATTTCCCCCTACATACAAACTTACAAATTTTACATCTTTGTAATATTAGTATAGGTTCACCTTTTGTTGTGGTGATTGGTAAAACACCAGTACATATAAAAGGTTTGAGTATTCATCACGAAGCTTGCTCAAGGCTTGATGGATTTCAAACCTACATTAAGAAGTTTTAAGTCAGTGTTCCTCATGGTGCTTTTCTTCACTGTTTGTTTGTGGTGTCTAAACAATCTTAGTAAAAATTACACTTGAAAAATTAATATTGCTATTTCCCTTTGTATATCTGAGTAGATGCTTGTTTATCACAGCTTTATGCCTCTCTGAGTAAATATTGATTGTAGACTAGACAAAAGTCAACATTGCTGCTAGCCTTGGATGACGTCAAAGGAAAAAAGTCTAAACAATGCATTCAACTGATTTTCTATTGCTACAATATCCGCAATTGTTGTGCCACGTGAACCGTAACTTGATAGATGCGTTCGTTTAACAAACGCCTGTTAATGTATTCCTATATAATGTTTATAGTAGGTACCTACATCTATTTACATCTAAAAAATATTTGAAAACGACGTTGGGGTATAACAAAAAAAAAACAATATCAATTATATTTTTATGTATAAAAATATTTTCGCAAATATAACCTTTCAATCTTGGTAATTCGAAACACAATAGAAGAACAATTAATAGGTACGCGAACACCGATTTTCACTTGGGTTTGATGAAATAATTCCGTAATAAAAAAATGAGTGTAATCCTTAAATTAATGTATAAGTTGTTGTTGAGTTGTTACCAATTATTTAAAACAAGATGTTTTGAAATATCCCCTAGACTTTGCGGGTGGCAAAAAATAAATGAGTAAAATATATTTAGGCTGATTTGTCAATGACGAAGTCTCGTTTTTACTAAAGTTTTAAAATAAATATTATTCCCATTTTTCAATTATTTTTGTATGGCGTTATGTATGTTATTATTTGTTGTTTTAATGTCTCAACTTTCTGAATTCGGGTGTACAAAGCAAATTGTTCAGAAAGCATTTTTTAAATATTAAGTATGGATAATTGATCGTGCAATGTTGTTTAAATAATAATATGCGCTGGCAAAACTAAATCACCTCACAACCAATGTTTATTTTTGAGTTCAATAACATATCTAGTTGAAATCGACTGTGCTGTAAAATGAATTATAAATGGACAAAGAAGAAATGACCTGACGAAATTGTTTTATTGTCAGCCCCAATGTTGAACTCTTATTTAGGATACACAATACTATGATATCACAGCTTATTGTTTTTGTTTACGACGCCATTGTGGTTAAAATACATAATTTCATCTGTTGAACCGTGACGGAATGGCGTTGGGGTACATAAACACATCAATATTTTTCGTAAACTCGTGAATAATGCGAAAAGTTGTAATACCTTTTAAAAATAGAAATTCACGATTATATACTTAAGGAATTACAATTTTTTCCAATCTCAATATTTCTGCACTATTGTGAAGGTCTGTCTAGTTTGTAAGGGTATGCTAGGTATGGTAATCGTTGAATTTATTCCTTCGACCATTTTTTCGATGTAGACGTGTGAAAATACTTGTGAGTGATATCACCGTCTCACAAAAGACCGGCGTGAAACAACCACAGCTTTGTGTATCGCTGTGTGAGTGAGGTTACCGGAGTCCTAATCCTTACCCAGGATGGTAAATTACCTTTGTCATATTCAAAATTTGACTGCACTTTCCTCCTAGTTCACAACTTAGACGAGTTTGAATAATTTCTCTAAATTAAATACTATTTTCGAAAACGACTTACCACATCACAATTAAATTTTGTATTGTCAATGTAAATACATATATATGCGCAGGTCTCCACTACCGGTTAAACCATGCGTTACAACTTTTATAGTGGAATGAGGATGAGGACCGTTTGAATGAATTGTTGAATAACTTTCATTTGTGGTCTATTATTATTATTGTGATAATTGTGAAGTTTGAGTAATGTTTGGCTTTGGGTATTGTTATAAAGCTATGTCCTAGAATCCTGGAAAATAAAAGGAGAAAATTGGGGCGGAGAAGAATTAAACCACTGGTAACCTCATTCACACGGCGAAATACAACGCTGTGGTTGTTTCACGCCGGTTTTCTGTGAGGCCGTGGTATCACACTCAGGTCGAGCCGACCAATCGTGCCGAAGCATGGCTCTCCCACACTTAGACACACACGCTTACACATTGTCTCACTTGCCAAATGAAAGTGACATTGGATTACGAATTTACGTTGGTATTCTGTCGGAGGATGGTACTTCCCGGTCGACCCCGTACTTGCAGTGGCGTATTCAAATACACTATTCCACGAAATATTATTTTGATCAAAGCTTCTGTGCCGTGTCAACTGGCATTACAATAAAACGAATGAATACTTCTCTGTATTCAAAACAAATTTAGTAAATGAAGAAAGTATATTGTAGTGTCTATATTTTGCGTTTAAATAAGACGATGTTTATTATTTTTAGTTAGTTCTTTTATGAGTGTTCTTAGAAAGGCTAAGACAATCAAGGTCGTGCCTTGTAGTCAGGAAGGTTTTTGTTAAAAGTGATGATTATATTAACTAAATTAGCGACGGAATGGTTTGTTATTACATATTGTCAATGCAACTCTGAGTCAAATATTGAATGGTTTTCTAAAAGAACAAACAAATAATCAGAATCAGAATTGAATGCTTGCCTGGTTGTTAACTTATTATTAATCCCTCTGCACATGCGATTTAGATGCCTGTATTATACTTTGCTAATATGCTGTGTGCACAAGTTTTTAAATACACATGTTAACACCAAAAAATAGCTAATTTCTCTGTTTTTATTGCTAATATCGATAGCGAAGTTACAAGTTGCTTGATAATAAAAGGTATATTATCTGGTGAATGCGCCACTTTCACCACACAGAACAGAAAAAATCACGCAGGCAGGTCGTCTCAGATATGAATGCACCTAAACAGAAGTGGGTTTTCCCATCAAATGTTTCTGAGCTGTTTGTGAAGGAAAGTGCGACGTAAAATCCATTGCGTGACGCATATTATCACTATATACTAATGTTATTTCTACTGTTTGTGACGAACATACTTATAAAACACGAGTCATTTGAATATACTATTTAGGGACATGAAGTAGTAACAAACATGTACTTACTTAAGTTTATTTTTTACATTTCGCAGGTGCAACACCAGCTCCCGTAGCATCAGTGACGCACACCCCGTTGCTAGGTGTTAACGGCTCAGGAATTTTGCGTGTGAACCTCACGGCAAATTTGCCCATCAACCTAACTGATACTATGCCGAAAGTCAGCGACCCTATCGTGCCAGATGACAGTAAGTACTAAATATTATGACTGAATCTCGAATAGTCAGATTTCTCCCGCCCTGAATATGGCGAGAGTGTCAGAATCTGCCTAAAATTCTCTCCATTCCTTCTCCTGCTCCGGATTGGACGGAGCCTTGGTACATTATTCCGCTAACACCCTCAACCCTGGCTAAATAGCAGTAAAGGTAAAAAATAATCGCGTGACATCAGTGACTCAGCATTGATCGCTCGATTCCTTACAATAACATTGATTTTACGTTGTCAAGAATTTCAAATCGTTCAAACCTTGAGGAAAAAAGCGGCAGTTGTTAATTTTTCCTTAAGATTTTTTTTGTTTAGTATATTCGATAATATTCTCAGTAGTATTGAATGTCGATAGATTATCTCTTTGTGGAATCATTTTTAACTAAGTATAGGACAAGCAGATTGCCTTAAGCTCTTCTTACTCTTGCACACCTACCTCGTTTTCTGTTCAATAATTTAAAATATCTATGAAATCTTTTCAGGCGTATTTAAGTTGGTTATTAAATATTATAACGTAGCGAATAGTTCTGTTATCAGGTGTTTCAATCAATTACTTGTTTATTTTCTTGCAAAGTAATGATTGAGAATTTGAAAATAGTGTTTTGTATGACCGCTAGAACTGTCGTAAATGTTCTTAAATTAACAGTAATATAATATTATTTTATAAATATAAAAATGGTTCGCAAAATGTGTTGGTAAGCGCATAACTCAAAAACGCCTGGACTAATTATGTTAATTCTTTTTTTGTTGTGTTTGTTATTGTCAGGACAAGGTTCTTATCAAAGAAAATATTGGAAAAGTGGAGGGGAAGATTAGGAAAGGTGACCCTTTGATAGCGAGATGGTTGGACCCGTGCGAAGCGGGGGCGGGCCACTAGTTTTATAATAAACTACATTTTAATAGATGTTATTAATAGTAAATACGTGCAACTAAAATTAACAAATCTAGGAGAATCGTGTACTTTCATATAGATCTACACCAATAAAGCCACTGGAAAACAAGAATATGTAATTGTTAGTTTAAAAAAATTGGTAGGTTTATTTTGTTATTTAAGTTATTTTAGTACAATGTTATGGGTATTATCCATTTTGATTATGCATGAAAATGAAAACCTGTCAGACTATTTTCGTTTTGACAGTTTAAGTATTTGTGCGACCTACCCAAATATTATTTTTGTTGGTGTAATTATAATAAAGCTAAGTGCATAATTGTAAACTGACACCCTAGAATTTACTTGCACAACTTCTCTCATATTAGTTTTAGTTGTCATGACTTTATAGTATATTTTTAAAAAGCTCCTCTACTTAGTTTACTTTTTAAATTTTGATATTGTATACTGTTTTGCAAATAAAAAAATAAAAATTATTTCATTTCAAATAAACTGAGTATCAATTTCAGTTACATCAACAACTTAATAAAAAGTGAAATCCGTTTGGCTTTCAATAGACAATGTGGAAAATTGAGAAATTTGTAACGGTAGTCAGTACCTACATAGCTATAACAATTCGTATTGGATCGAGATAGATTAGCACAATACCTTGTATTGTCTGCTATCATGTTTATTGTTTATTATGTTTGAAGGGTAATACTATGTTAGGTACGTTGCTCATTGTGAACCTTATGGCGTTAGAAATAATGCGTTCTTTTTTTATTTATTCCACATTAACAACAGACAAATATTTGCCCAATGCTGAGCAAAGGCCTCTTCTCACAGGAGATTAGTCACCACGCTCGCTCAAGGCGAAATTGGCGATTTCAAACTAAGTTTTGTCTATAATTAATTGTACCTTCAGGTTTCCTCATGATGTTTTCTTTTACCGGGTAGTGTTTATAAGAAAGTAGATAGAACGCTGAAATCAACGAGCCAACATGATATGGTATTTATTCAATCTATGGGATTTTGTGGAGTGTGTTACTAAGATGGTTTAAAGCCTGTTACAAAAATATATATGTATGCCATTATTTAAAGTTTTAAAACTTACGCCTAATCTGTATCTAATTAACATTGGTTACGAAGTGTATTGAGCATGTAAAATGAATTACACGCGACATAAGACACGCGTGTTTAGAACTCATAGCTAATGAAACCTCATTGCTAAAGTTAGTGTAATTAAATGAGGTCTAGTTCAATGTGTATATTTAAAAATGGAATTTGTGCACGACTTCACTTGATTTCATTAGTTTTATTCGTATTGCTGAATCGTAGTCAGTTGAATAGTTTTTATTGTATAGTATTAGTTAGGTTTATGTAAATTTGCCAAGGGGCCTTAAAGTTTTCAAGGTTGGTAAAATAAGGTTACAGTTATGTTATCTTAGATTTTTCCTTTGCCCACTATTTCGTCCCAATTTCTTACCTACATTTTGCAGTCTCTTCCAAGAGGTATTTTTAATTGTCTAATTTTAATTCCAATTCCATATATTTTGTGAGAGACTATGCGGAGCGACGACACTAAATAGTATTTATCACGAAAAAAAGTACCTACTTCTCTTTAATTTGTAATACAACAGTGTCACAAATAAAGTAGTCAAATAACGCTAACGTTGTGTTTTTTACCATGCAAATAATATATGTACAATGGTGATACCCTGGAATACACACATAGACTACTTTTATCTCGATCAACAGGGGTGAAACCATATAAATAACGGTTTTTGTTGAACATATCGGAAAGAAAATAATTATTTGGGAATTTTATCGAAAACGCTGCCTAAACCTTTTAATTTTTTAATATTATAATTAATATTTTTTTATTTAAAAAAAATAAACAAAGTACTTTTAGGAATAACAAAATAATTTGTGATTTAATTGTGTATCTTACATAGGTCTACAGAAAAGTCCGCGATGCCATATGTCTATCTTAAGGATAAGAATTGGAGCTATTGCTGCTATTGTCATAATTAACTATAAAACTGGCTGCGTATAAGCGCGTAGACAAAGCTTAATGAACTTAATTGATCTAGGACCCTTCCTATACAAGCCCGCACAATGTCACAAAGTTGATTAATAACTTCTCTTAAATTGTCTGACGAAATGACATCTATATATATAAAAGAAAGTCGTGTTAGTTACACTATTTATAACTCAAGAACGGCTGAATCGATTTGGATAAAAATTCGTAGGGAGGTAGCTAAGAACTGGGAGAAGTACATAGGATAGGATAGAGTAGGTAGTGTAAGTTAGGTAGAGTAGGGTAGGTAGAGTCGGGTAGGGTAAGAATTAGTAATCTATATAATGAATTTTCACATATTTCTTATGCTATTTCACAGATTTCACTGATGTGTTTAAAGAAACACCGGAAAGGATCGTGTCAGAGCAGAATCTTTCTAACTTGACCTACGTGAGTACATAATTTTTGTTACATTTGTACATGGCATATAATTTTTGATAAATCAACTACCTCATACGGGGTCTGTATTACTAACATCGTAAACAAATGCTTTTGTTCTTCTACTTTACAAAATAAGTTTCATACAAACGACAAAATAACGTTTTAGTATTTCCTCTTGTGTCGGGGGTGTGTTACGTTTACAAACATACAAATTGATATACAACAATGGCCCGGTTCGCCCTCGTTGGGTTTCAATGTGGCAATGAGGTTACTAGAAATCGACGCCTTTACTCCTCTCCCCCTTCCCTAATACCAAATGTTCTTGTGGATGATGTTAATGATATGAAACCACAAAAATCCAGTAGCAACCTGATAATTAAAAAGAAAGAAAAATATACACAGGACACAAAATACTGAGTTATACTACTAAGAATAAATATAAACACTTTAAATTCTGTAAGTAACAAAAAGTCAGTGAACTTATTAAGTACACACTTTCCTTAGCATATCTATTAATTAAGCTTTTATTAGACGTTCCCCTTTTTAAATTAATTTGACCATCCACCTTCTTCAACGGCCGAAACTAATAAGCTATCATGATACAAAGTAAACATTCCAGTAGCGTGAATCTTTCGGGCGAGAAAGAGGGATGGAGCTATCAAAGATGTATAGCGCCATCCCTTTCGCCTTTACACGTTATGGTAGGCCCTCTGCTGGTCTGAATATTTCATAAGAATCATTGACACCTATTCTGTAGGACAAATATCAAAAATGACAATTTTAGTTCAGAAAGTTGTAGAGTTATCAGTCTACAATGTGAATAAAAAAGTATTTTTTAAATTTGAGTTCAACCTGACTAGGCCTTTTGAGCTCTATGGAATAGCACCCACCCTCAATAAGAAGCCCACACTCATTAAGTGCATTCAAAATTCAGCTTAGCCATCACTTAATTACAAATCAGATATATCTGAGAAATTAAGTGCGTTGGATGGGATTTCTTTATAGCTTTTTTGGTTATTTAAGTCTTTGTTATAGTTCTCAAGTAAGCCTTACTATATAATGTTTTTATTGAGAGTAAAGTTGCTTTAAACCTGATAATGAATACTGAGTTTAGAGAGAGTTATAAATCACGTAAGTCATATGTACATATATGTAGAGTTATATGTATATGTAGTTAATTAGTTAAGTTAAAGAGATGGAGCCTTTAAACATTGTCATTGATTTAATATTGTTAATTTTTACTTTTTAGGACCACCACGACTTCTACAATAGCACCTTCATCGGTAACGTGACCTTTTTCAAGGATTACTGGGCGAACATCACCATCGACAAGGCAGAAGTTCACCAAGTGCTCAGCAATTCACACAGGAGAGCCACTGTAAGTGTTCACGTCATTATGGCCGCATTAATCATCCAAACAATTATGTTTTTATAAATACCTAGGTGGACTGAATAAATCCGACCTCGTAAATAAACAAATAAATCAATAAACAATATCTATAATAATAGTATAAAGCTGTAGATATTGATTGTTTGTTTGTCCGAAAATACTGGCTGAATTGAACAATTCTTTTTGTGTTGGAGTCCATTTATAGCCTTAACATAATCAAGCTACGATAACAGCCTAACAGTGAGTGAAACCGCGCAGTGGCAGCTGGTCATTCATAAGACACCTACTGCTGAATAAAGGCCTCTTTGATCAGCCGAATTAAGTATTATATTTTTGTTGTGGTCTGCCTTTGCCCACTTTCTCGCCTAGCGGTATGCGATGATGTTATTATAAATCTAGAAGATTGTCTCAACTTATTACGTACATTCAGCGTCAAATATATAGGGGCATTTAGAGTACAAAATAGCGATACAACAAAGTCACCGTTCACTCAAATATCGACGCCGAAAAAACGGTACACTTAAAAAAAATATTGACTCTGATTTAATTTTGGTAGATTTACAGAGTAACATTTTTATTCGATTAATCTCTATAACACTGTGATACCTGTCCGTAAAACGTCTGTAAGCAACTTTAATTAGGTACGGTGTGTATCGATTATCGTTGAATTATTAACAAACTAAGGTAATGCAAGCCTTGGCACAGAATACTTTTATAAATAAATTATTACGTATAAAAGCCTCGTGGAAAATTCTAGCCAAAGTGCTGATTCTAACCTAATGAAAACAAGATCGCGGACAAGCACCATCCATCAGCCGTGCCATTGTATTGTGGAGTATATACTCGAAGCTTGTTTTCCTCAATACATATCACTACATTATATACCGAGGACCTAGTTTTAGTATATGACTATTATTTTTTTACATTTTAAAAGTACCTGTTAAAGTTTAGCCAAAACCAAAATTGTCAGGGTGGGTAAGGTCAAGGCGCCCGCTTTTCAGGGCGCGGCCGGGTTTGAAACCTAGCGAGTGCCAATGTAACTTTTTTCGAGTTGTATGTACTTTATATGGTTACTTAGACATCACTGGTGGACACGATGATTTCCTTCACCGCAAAGAATGAAGGGAGAACTTTTAATTTCGAATTATAATTCTGAAATGGCCAATCCGCCTTAAGCAATTGTAACTTTCTCCATGTGAGAAGAGGTCTTTGCTCAGCAGTGGGAACTTATAGGCAGTTGATGTGTAATGTGTGATGTGATATTAAAGTTTTGGCTTTATATTATTTACGAACATAACTACAACATTTTCTTTTTTTTAATAGCCTGTAATGTTCCACTGCTGTGCAAAGATCTCCCCATCTCGCTTCTACACCTCCCGATCCTTCGACCATGTCCACCAGTCTCGACGATAGGCATAATTAATTATTACAATAGGAATTATATTATTTACAGTCGATACAACTCAGCTTTGATTTCCCATTCTACGGTCATAACATACGCAACGTGACGGTGGCAACCGGTGGTTTCATCTACACGGGCGAACATGTCCACAACTGGTTGGCAGCGACGCAGTACATTGCCCCGTTGATGGGTAACTTCGACACCACGCTCACCAACGACAGCAAAATTAAACTACATGATGATGGTATGTTCCTATTTATCTACTACACTTTACTACACTCGACAGCTTCCTATGCGAAATTCTGTACTGTATTTCCAATCAGCTGACGCGCAAGCTTAAGTTTTTTTTTCGTGTAACATTTTCGATGTAGTATAGCATTTAACTATTTATAAATAATGAAAACTTTTCCTCTAAGTATGTGTCTTGCGTTATAACTCGTAATGTCAGATTTTTTAAAGAATTTATACTGAACATTCAATACCAAGTATTATCATATTAGGGACTTTAAAGGTCAACAATTTACTGTCGACACTTGTGATGTGATAAAAATGATAAGTCTATCATATCTGAATATATTTTCAGGCGAAAAGTTCTCAGCATTCTGGGAGAACGTCACTCTCCAAGAGGACACATCGAAGAAGTTTACATTCGCTGTGACGCTATACAAGAACGGTGACATCATTTTCGCGTACAAAGATATCCCAATCGACGTGCAAGAAATCAATGACACTGAACACCCTGTTAAAGTCGGTATCAGCGATGCTTACCTCACCGACAAAATTGTCTTCTGTAAGTACCACATCAACATTCAACTACGCTACTGTGATTCATTTGCGATGTCTGGATGTTTGTTACTCAATCACGCCAAAACGACTAGACAGATCTGGATGAAATTTGGCACAGGCATTGTATACACTGCAGAATAGGACATAGGCTACTTTATATCAACGTACCACGCGGGCGAAAACGCGGCCAAAAGCTAGTAATCATTATAAGTTAAATAACTTTAAATTAAGTAAGTACTTTATTAATTTTCAAGGTTCCATAGAGCCTAATGGCAAAATAGGAATCCTTATAGTTTCGTCATGACTGTCTGTATACCTGTGTGGCTGTTCGCCCGCATGACCCACGCCCACAACACTTCCAAAATGATGTACACTACTATGCAAACATTCACCGACATTTGGTTTGAACGAGGTCTAGTTAGTAGTTTTCTAAACTGTCATACAAATATAGTTAAAGTCAAAGCCAAAGTCAAAGCACCTTTATTGTGGGCATATGTGAGTTACAGGTCTTAACATTAAATTAAAGTATCAATATGTCCTGCCTTATAGGCATACAATAATTATGTGGGTACTTATAATTGCACAGTAATAATTATATTGGCATAAAAAAAATTTGGAATTATTAAGAATGGTAAAAGTTATTATAAATGTAAAAGTACAGTGAAGACTATCACATGGTCAATATTAATGCATGTCAAATACGGTGAAACTAATACATAATCGTACAAAAAATACTTTATGTCAAAATACAGTAAAACTAATAAGCGGTCAAAAATTCAAGAAATCTTGGATCGTGTAGTACGCTTTATCAATTAAAAATGTCCGTAGTTTATTTTTAAATACTGCAATTTCCTTAGTGTCTAGAATGCTAATAGGTATTTTGTTATATATATTTGATGCCATGCCAAAGAAGCTTTTGTTAAATAGAGCCGTTTTATGTGGTACATTAGAAATTTTTAAATTATGCCTTTTCGATTTAAGTTTTTCAAATAGATTTTCATTTGTTTTTATAAATACAGCTACTTCATAAATATAAATTGAAGGGAAGGTCAATATTATTAATTCTTTGAAATATGGTTTACATGAATCTGAAACACGAATACCAACCATCGCTCGAACACATCTTTTTTGCGCCTTGAACACCAAATCCTTATTAGTTGCATTGCCCCAATAAATGACTGCATATCTCAGTGTTGCCGAGATATAAGAATGATATGCGGTCAAAAGAACTGATCGATGAACTATTTTTGATAATTTATATAAAGCATATGAGTACTGATTAATTTTATTGCATACTGTATCTATGTGTGTTTGCCAAGACAAATCCTTATCAATCCAAAGCCCTAGAAATTTAATGCAGTTGACAAGTTCAATTTTCGTCCCATTATGACTAATAAAGTTGTTGTCTGCTGTATTACGCCCGAAATTCATAAGTTTAGTTTTTTCTAAATTAATTATTAAATTATTGTTCGTCAGCCAGTGAATTATATTGCAGAGTGTGGAATTTATTTCTCTCTCAAAAGTATTCATATTTTGTCCAGTAAATATAACTGTGCTATCATCAGCGAAAAGTATCATTGGATGCAGTGTAACTTTAGGCAGATCATTTAAGTAGGTCAAAAATAACGGAGGACCTAACACGGTTCCTTGTGGCACTCCATATATTACTTTTTTGGACATGGATTTATGGTTTTGTTCGGTACTATTTGAGATATTAATATTATTTATTTCTACTACCTGATATCTGTCATTAAGATAGGATTCCAGAAGTTTATGGACATTACCCCTTAGACCATAGCTATATAATTTATTTAAAAGTGTTTCATGGTGTACATAATCGAACGTTTTCGTCATATCCATAAACATTGCAGAGACAGGCACACGTTTATCAATATTGGTATATACCGTTTTTAAAAGGTGCTACGGAATCGCTCTTTCCGGGTGAATACACCTCGAACTTTTTTGTAACCCTTAATAATTTTTATCGAGTTGAGTTTCAATTTAATAATAATAATTATACTTGACCAAAAGGATACGTTTAATGAAACTATTACCTGGTGTTTATATCAAGAAATATGACATACATTTTTTTCAATATTTTGAACTCTATTTTTAGATGTCCGCCGCAAGACGATCTACGAGTATCACCGCGTGTCTTTCAAGGACCATCTTATCACAAACAACACAGTGCTGAAGATGACAGCTCTGCCCACCTGCCTGCAGTACGATACCTGCGACTCCTGCCTTAACCATAACACTGGCTTCAACGTAAGTAGGCCTTAGCCATTTTATAACAAAGCGTTTAGCATAACGGTAAGCATTTTATAACGTAAGCGTGAATCTTTCGGGCGAGAAAGAGGGATGGAGCTATACACCTTTTATACTCCTCTCATCCTCTGTTCTTACTTCTTGATCCCTTACGATAATGTCGTGGTTAATAATCGGAGGTAAAGGTTCTCTAGAATACGCACCTTCTTGCGTGGATTCGAAACTTAGCAACTGCCAACGTGACTTTTTCCGAGTTATATGAACTTTCTATGTTTATCGATGGAACCTGGTCTAGTAGGTTACTTATAGGCTGATGATGTGCCCCCTTACAAAGGACGCAGAAACGAGTCATCAATCGATCGATTGGTGCAATGTAGTCAGAAAGGTTGCGATTGGTAGATCCCGTCTTTTCTTTTTTTCATTGTCTAATTTTTGTTTGTCTTTTTAACAGCATTTACTACTAACCAACCTTTTTAATATAGTGTTGGCAACAACCTAAACTAACTAATAGTAGCGTTGTGTTTAGTAGTATGTTATTTTAATTGATATTACAACAATACCCATAGTAATGATCTTATTTTAAACTCTAAAGCATATTTTGATTATAATATAACCCACTTTGCTGTCCACTTCATGCTTAAACAATTTGAACTTTATTTGGAAATCACAAAGTGGAAAATCTTGTGGTAGAGCAGATTTTAATAGTTTTATATGCACGAAGAAAATGTGCAAAAGGTTCATTCGGTCTTTAATTAACTATAACCACATATTTCTGTTTCAGTGCACATGGTGCCCGCAGATCCAAAAATGTTCGAGTGGAACTGACAGAAACAAGCAGGATTGGCTGTTGAGAAGTAAGTTAGAAACATGCTCCGCTATAACTTATTGGCGTTTTTGATGAGTGCCATCCCTTGGGCAGTATTTGTGATTGCTTTCATGACTACTGTCCAAAGCTTATTTTTACCTATTATCTCACCATCCTTAGTTAGATCCTGCGAAAAACTTAGGCGTTCTTTGAATCGCATCATTCTGCCGATAGTGCAAATAATAATTGTAATGCAAACTTTCACCACAACACTTTTCTTTTCATTCAATATCCAATATTTTTATGGGCTAATTCGGCGATGAAGCCTGCGGTTTACCTGATCGCCGCCTGCTTAGACAGCCGCAACACCAAAAAAGTTACAGCTACGTTTCCTGCCTTTTGTTTACTATCGAGTTAGGGTTTGGAAATGGGGGAGCTTTTTAACCTCGCTCGCTTGGTGAAACACAAGACAACCGTTATTTCACGTCGTCTGATAGACCGTGGTATCTTTGATTGTCGAACCTCAACCTCTGCCTCTTTTTAGTCGTGTGTTCTTGACAGAGTGGTCGAGGTCATGTGTCGGTCGACTCTTGCGCCACCGCCGCTCTTGCGATGCGACGCCATGAAGTTCTATAACGGCTTGGCAGTTTTCGTTGACGCTGCAATGCGTCACCCACACTAAATATGATGGAAATGTCACATCTATATCAAAATTGTTATAATTTTTTAAACAGAATGTGAGAAGACTACAATAGTGAACGCTACAAGTTGCGCGGCGACTCGCATCGATGCTCCGAGTGACGCGAGCGGAGTCCCAGGGACCGGCAACACGGCCTACACCACCGACCAGCAAAGCGCCCGACATGACACCGTTGTCAATACACGTATGTACCTCTCATTGAACATTATTGTGAGCCTTCTTTATCCTAGCCGTGGTTGCGGGTAAAGCGCAATGAGTCACCGCGGCCTCGGCCCAGACCAGGAGAAGGAACGGGGGTTTTTAGTCAGTAAGAGTCTGACATACTCTCTCGCCTTACCCTGGACGGGAGAAGTCATTTGATGATTTTCTCCTGACAAAAAAAGACTTCTTCATCCCAACCTGTTTTAAGTTAATACTATACTTTTGAACATAAAAATCTAGTTTTTCCTATTCTCAAAGATATCATAAATAATAATAATTCTCATTGGCTCCGTTTTTTAAATTGCAACGCTAGTATATTTTTTATTCTTAAATAAGTTCTAATACCTGATTTCGAGATAACACAATCGGATTTACACGAACACTGAAATTATTTTAGTATCTGGATCCTATTTACAATAGAAATATATATTTTAACATATGAATTGCTAAAAAACATTACGAATTACTACTTGCGCTTTTCGGGTGACTTATCTAAAACGCTGCGACCAACGATTCCATGCCTCCGCATTTGTGGAATCTGATGAAATTTGTAATTTAGGATTTCAACTCGCTACTTAGGCCTTGGACGCCATCTTGGTCGCCCACGCCGCATGGCTCGGTACTCGATGGTCCACTCTCGCGACCGCCTTACTTACATCAAATTTCTTCGACTTTTGAGTTCTTCTTTTACTTCTCATACTATGTAATATTAATAAAACACTTTGATCTTAGTTTCTTGAGTTTTAGCGAAGTACACAGTCGGGCAGCTCACTACACCAGATTTACAATTTGTCAATAGTCCGCAGAATGTCGACCATGATAATTATAACGAGATAATGACGGAAGTTCTAGTGGTGTACTAATAAGTCACACTAATTAGTGTGACAAGATACATTACTTGTTTCGCTAAACTGAAATGTTGAAATAATACTTAGCTTGACTCGGAAATCTACCTATATGTCCAAAAGACCCCTTGTTAGGCAGTAGCGCTTGCGTTCAGTCTAGGTAATAATAATAATAATTCATGTGGGAAGTGGATTTGGCTATCATTGTACCGATAGTCGTGTCAGCCAATGGCTTAATAGCTAACAGCATCGATCAACACCATAGGAGGCTCTCGTTAGGTGGCTGGATCAAGGGCTTGATTCAGAAAGCGGTACTCCTGGACACGGCTCGTATTGTCAGGAGATTCCTTTCTCTGGAGCCCTGACCGCCGGTAGCTAGGACCCTATTCCCGATACCGGTGGGACACTATTTTTTATATTTTTAAATGTTTTTTTATTATTTATTTTTAAGATATATTTAAAAATGTGATTTATATGTTTATATGATAAATAAAAAGAATAATAATTCAACTTGTATGAATAACAGAAGCGGACGCACCGAAGTCGAACGCTGGTCAAACGGGTCAGGCTGCGCAAGCTTCCCCCACGGTCGAAGCGCACTCGCCCCTCGGTGGAGCCGTCGCCGCCTTCCTCTCTATCACGCTGATCTGCGCGGCTATCTCGTGGATATTCTACGCATTCAAAAACCCGCACACACGAAGCGGACAACTGCTAATTAAGGTAATTAATAAGTTATTTATATTAGTAGAAATTAGTAATTGTAGTAACTCTTGATACTACGAGTGTCCATGGACGGCGATGATTGCTTACCATCAGGTAATGGGCAAGCACGTTTGCCGACTTATGACATAAAAAAAATACGTTTACGTAGATATAATCCATGTTTCTCAAATAATAACCATGACTTTAAATTGACGTCGTCTGGATGATTATGATGTCTATTTTTTCACTAAAAGTTTTCTATATAGTGATTCTAACACAAACGGAAAGTTAAAAAAAAAATTTGTTTCTACAGTACCGGCCGTCCCAATGGAACTGGCGTCGCGGTGAAGCGCGCTACACTGCCGCCACCATCCACATGTAAACATCCCCGCACCCACGACGTGCTTACTGGCACCATACAGATTTGTTGGCCATACAACACCATTAACACATACTGTACTTATATACTATTTATAAACTTCAATTTAAAATACAAGCAAAGAAGTAAACTGGATTCCGTTTTTCTTAAAGGTAAGTTTATGTATTAATGTTATGTAAATAAAAACAACATTATTAATTTTAGTAAATCAAAAATAATATATTACAAAAAGTGTTGCTGTGTAAACCTATGTTGGAAACTATAATTGAACTAATAAGCGTTTGAAAGTGTCATAAAAATCCAGATGTATTTAAAAATTAATCTGTGTATTTCAACTTGTTTACTGGATCTATGTGGCTAGATTTTCTTTGTGAACGACAATGTTGTAATGAAGAGACTTGTGGATATCATTCCTTATCTCTTGAGATTTCTTTTTAAGTGACTTGCGGTTTTTATTAAATTAATTCTTAAAATATGGCCGCCGCAATAAATGATGTACTATGGGCAAAAAACCTTTATTGAATATGTACATTTTACAACCGTCACAGGGTCCTACATATACATTCTCATTATGCCTAGATATATATGTATACATTCGTTACAAATTAATAATATACATTTGATTGGACCTGTGTTATTGATATAAAAAAGTTTGTAAACTAAAACACGACAAAATTAGGTATATTATTGTCGTAGATAAGAAAATCAATGTGATGGTGTTACGCAGTATCGATTTTTAATTCGTCGTTTTTTATTCATTGAAAACCATTGGCAAAATCTTGTACTTATAGGTAGTGATTCACTTGTCATCAGACTTTTTGAAAATACTTACTGATTACTATTATAAGTTTGTGTGTATGTAATATACAAGTACATATACAATACAAAAATGCTTCGTTCTACAGTCTATATTGTATACACAAAAAAAAATCGTACTTCACACAAAGCAAAAAAAAAAAAATTTTTTTTTTTCAATTTATTTTCAATATGGGTTGCAGCATTTTTGTTGACTGAATTACATAATAAAGTCGCCAGTAACTTGTCGACTCGAAATAATGAATCTCCATTTTGAATCTTATCGCGTCACGTGGGTTATATTTTTTATTGTTATTCTATATATAATCTATATTTTATTTTTTCTTATATGGTTTTATTTGCCTCTTATGTATTAAACAATATAGTGTAATAGGAATCAAAAGGAAAAATATTATGTGTTTTCGTCGAGAGCCTGCACACTGATGGTTTCAGTTAGCACGTTACAAAAAAATAACGAAAATTACTTATAGAACAAATGTAATAAATAAAGTAACTTATTAAATGAACAAGTATTGCACTAGCTGATTTACGCTTTGTATTTATTTAACCTGTACAAGATTATGTATGAATAAAAACTCTTTTTCCGGCTGGTAACTAATAAAAAATAAAACCATTAGATAATTTGTCATTATTCAAATAAGTAACCATTTTGTTCTATAAGTTAATTTTAACACAACACATAAAGAAGTTCGTTTACATGAATCTATGTGCCTTTAAACAGAGTTCCGTAAGTATCGAAGGATCCGTCCTGAGTTAGTTTTAGTGTGATCGAAATGTGATTGTGGCAAATCGTAGAAATGTGCACTTGATAATCTCACACTGCGGACGATTGAATGAAAATTAGTTCACGCAGTACATCGTCTGCAAAGAGTATAATTATTAAACCTACTTAAAAAAATATATCATTGGCGTTGTATATTATTTGTCATGAACATTCTACGATTTGTAACAACGGTTGTCTAAGTAAGCTTGTCGAGCTCATAATCGCAAAAAATGTCAATTCTTAAAAAAAAGTATTTTCTTTTTTGTATAATTCTACTCGTATTTTAAGTCGCGGTTCCTACGGGCACACGCACGTGTTCAGTCGAGATTATAAGTCAGAGGTGTTTGGTTAAATGAAGTATCAACTTGAATCACTAATTGTACCTATTATACTGATTTCATTTTTTGTAAAATAAATCTAGCCAACGGCTTTTTCTACTTGTTAACCTAAATAAATAATAAAAATGCTGTTCCGCGATTGCAGTTCGTTTTTACCGAACACCTTTGCTTAACTGTTACATACATATCAAGTAGAATACTTTGGCCTGCGAGATGTTGACGCGACTCTAAATAAATGTACAAAACTTAAGAATTTCTTATCCACTTTGCAATATTATTTTATTTCTATTTTTTTAATTTTGGTTTTATCGTGTGGAAATACGTAATGGTGCTTTTTCTCCCCCTAAAAAAACTTTATAAATGTATTCGGCAATCGAAATACATATATGTAAATTTATTTGCACGAGTTAAATGATAATATTAATAAATAATAGGGAAGATGGCAATACACTAAACACAAAACATCCATTTGGACCACGATATAATATCAAAAGCTTTCTTTACGTCAAGTAATTGTGGAAATTTCTAATTATGTAAGTAAATAAAAAGATACGTGTCGTTTGAAATGTTTTTGCCATAACCCCTGTTGTAATTTCTTTGGTGTATCAAAATAAATACTGAGAAAAAGTTCCAAAAAATCTCATTTCTCTGTTCTATTATTGATAGATATATAGTATCACTTGTAGTATGTATTTGCTTTATTGGCGATTTACTTAATTTTATTTTTTTGTTATTTGGCATCTAAGTTTAAATTCAAATAATGTTCTTAAAGTTATTATTGGTTAGTGAAAATTATATTTGAAAATACATTGTGTTCTGTTATATTGTGAGATTTGGATTCTTATACATACAGAGTATTATATTATGTACATTCACTTTTATGTCGGGTGAAGGGTAAAAGTATCAATAACATTTTTATAAAAGCAACGGACACCACGCGTAAAATTTTGTAGTTTTACACATTTATATTATAAATAAAAAAAATACATTAATTGCCATTAAATGGCCTTAGTTTAAGGCAATGTGGTCTTTAATAATTGTATAAATGAAACATTTCGCTTACGGAACTCGTCGCGTACGAAGTGCAATGCGACATCAATTCTAAGCTGTACGTTTGGTGTTATTAGTGTTATAAAATAGTGATATTATTATGTAAAATATATTAACGTATGTTACTCTACTTTGGGATGTTTTTTTTACTCACTTCATTTTTTCGCAAATTCTGTACACCAAAGAACTTGAATCGCGTTCGATAAGTCTGTGGAGTCTCGCTCAATCATCAATCGATTAGATGTTAGTGATAACATGGAATTATTGTAAATTATATTTTTAAGGTACTTTTCCGACGTTTTCATTTGCATTATGGGACCATTATTAAAGTCTACAATAAATCCTGCCGTTGGAAGAACAGGCTGTTTCATTTCTTTACTTGCTACCGCTACCGTAAAACCTTCTTTTTGAATCACTCTATCTATTGAAAAAAAACCGCATCAAAATCTGTTGCGTAGTTTAAAGGATGTAAGCATACATAGGGATATAATGACAGAGAAAGAGACTTTGTTTTATACTATGTAGTGATTAATTTGAGTGTGTTCTGTCTGTCTGTGTCTTCGTTTCTATTTGAGACCAGACTGATTTTGATATCTTTAATAATATCTAATTAAGCTCTGAGCTTTTTACTCTATAACTACTACTTCTTTATAAAGTGAGTGTCTTAACCAACGACATGGGTGTTACCACTGTATACTGTTTTTGGTTATAATATTTTTTTCAAGCAACCACACCGGACTACGGAGGAAATAGGCTCCTATGAAGCCAAAAAGCGACGAGCAATTCTTTAATTCGGTTTGTAATCAAAATCTTTACTTCGCTTTAAAGGAAACAGCATTGGGGATGGGGCCCGAAATCGTTTAAAATATCGGAAAAATAGGGTGGATAAGATTCGCGCCGAAAGAGAGTTCATATACCCATATAAAAATGTATTTATTCGTAATCAGGCACGATCGGCATAATGCGATTGAGTTTTTTTACTTCTACCCCCTCTTTCGCTAAAATATCTTTCTTTCCAACATAAATTCTTGCTCCTTCGTAAATAATAAATAAAACTGTATGTAGGTTCACGGAGCAGATTTATTTTTAACAATTGCTTACCCTGATATAGAATATGTGTTGGCCAGGTTTTAGAAACACTTTGGCCGGCTCTCGGTTCAACCTTAGGCAAATCCAAAGATTACTTGACGGGCGGCAGCCCACGTATAAGCCGCTTTTTATAGTCGGCAAACGAGCAGGTGGATCACAATCGATCGCGCTCATGGACACCTGCAATAACTGAGGATTTGCAAGTAAGTTGCTGGCGTTTTGGGGCTTAGGGTTTAAATGATTAGGGAATTTAGAAATTTAGGTGGGCGAGCGAAGGGGAGCTATATATTTGTATAAGTGCCTAGTAATTTATTAATTAATACTTTCTTGACAAAATCGTCAAATTATTTCTCCCATCCAAGTGGGAGTGTTAGGCGCTTACTGATAAAAACCCCGTTCCTTTTCCTGCTTTAGGCTGGGGTCCCGGTATGGTATTGCACTTACACCCGCATCTCCACGCGCCAAACGTTCGTCTCGTAGGGCGGTTTGCTAACCCTTGCTCGCCATTTACAAACCGCCGTTAAGGCGACGGTAAATCGTTGCACCATCTCCGACAAAGCTCGGAATGACCACTCCTGCGGCGAATGGGGCGTGAAGATGATAGTTCCTTGATGCGCTCCACCCTCCTCCTGCGAAAGAAGAGTTTTTCTAAGGCCGGTCGCGAGAAATCATCGCCACTGAACACTTCCCACCGTATGCTCCACCTTGTTCTACAGGTGGTCCTCAAAGGGATGACACCCTGGCTGAATCACCCCGCTGAATCAGAAACGTGAGGTATTGGACCTACGGTAACGTCACTTACACAACGAAGCACGAGTAAGCATTGTTCTACGGCAGTTTTGTATGATGTCGTAGTGTCACTTCTATTGAGCCGACCTATTCCTATCGATGGCTGATGAATGACTGACCACAGCACACTAATTGAGCACAGTAGGTAGTTCCAACTTAGGAGCAAAACATCGCAGTCGGAAGTGATTTTCGACATTCCACCGACTATTGAAAATGCATAAGTACTGGTACCGTCGTCGGTCGCACCTTCATGTTTCTTGGAGAAACTGCTCATTATTAAATTACTTGAAAGTACCAAGATTATCTACTACTTCATCATCTGAAACTTCTTGGCTTCTACCAAAACTAGAACTAAACTTATATGATTAGGGATTTGTATTTATTGACAAGTCTTTCGTGAATCCGTCTATGCATATTGCAGACTATTTAGTTTTGACTCGATAAACCAATTGAGACCAATAAGCGTGCCATGCCTATCCGTTACGTCTACATTAGGTACACTTCTTGATTTTTGCTCCGTATTTCATGTGTTTGTAGTAACTTCTTATTCTAATTAAAACGGTTAAGTAGTAAGCACTTAAATTTATACAGTTACCAGGATTCCCAGAAAATTACTATCAGGGCCATTGGCTAACTTTTTGATTGTTAGTTGTAGCTAGTTATACCGATATTTAATATAAGACTTCCTTGAGAGTATTGGTGTTTTATTAAATTGCATACCTATTACCTCTAATATAATTCCACTTTTAATTTTAGTCTTCTTTTTACCTTAATGAAAATTGCATGCGTTGTCTAAAAAAAATGTAACAAAGTGCGCCAGTTGGCCACTGTTCGTAATGTGCTTATCAGCCCATTGTTTAAACTAACCATTCACAGGTGGTGGTGGTGGTGACAAAAAAAATACAATTTCAGGTCAATCTCGTTAGTGAAACGCTCTTCAATGGACCTGTTGTTAATAGTTCTGCTAGTCAGCGTCACAGATGCAAAAATGTTCTGTAAAAAACCAAAAGCTCCATTGGAGCTAGGAGAATGGGAGTACCACCTCAAACATATGGATTCTGCCGTGGTCGAAAACCCACCACTATCGATAAATGAAGGCCAAATGTACGTGTATGAAAATTACTTTCCTAATTACACGATCAAGTATATCTACGTGGACAACTTGGCGATGCGATCTTGTGGCGCTAGTGCAGCGATCAAAACCGGTGGCATCGACTCCTCCTACGTGGTGTTAGTACTCCATGCACATATCAATCAAGAAATCAGGTCTGTGATCGACATCTGGGGAGAACGAACGACCGTGGGCAAGTCGACCATTACTGAAATACAACCTGATGAGACGACAAGTAAAAAATTATTTCATCTATTTAAGCATTTACGAGCTGTCAACCACAACAGGTAGTGCTTATTGATATTTATTTTGCACTTTTAATACTTTTTTCTATTAAATGTATATCTTTCTGATAATCGTTTCTTTTGATAATCCTTGTTACATCCACATGGATTTTTATCATGGAGCAAGTATCGTGCTCTTTATACAAATCTTGTGAGGTTCACGAGTAAGTTGGCAAATACCTATCTCTGATAAGTATTTTTTATCTGCAAATAGAATCAAAGTTGATCACAGTTTTCTTCCGTTTAATTCCCAAGCCAAATATTTCTAAAATCTTTGCCCCACACTAGGATTTTTCCTGTAGGTATCGTGGGTGCAAAAAAACAAACATACAATTTCACATACACATGACACCCAGACCCGGAACAACAATTGTGGATCACACAAAGAGTTCTTCCGTGCGGGAGTCGAACCCGCGACACGTTGCCCGGCAGCCAGTTGCCCAGCCACCGCTCCAGACGTGCAGTCTTAAAAGTAGGACTTTCTCGGTTTTTCTTAGATATAGAATCACGAAACCTGGAATTACGCCCAGTGCGTGTTAATTAGCCCACCATCTATTACTTATATGGAACTAGAAAGTAAGCCGTGAAAAATGGTGGCAAATTATGCGCTAATCTATCCGAATTTCGTTGACTGAAAGTCAATACTTAAGTGCTTCGTTATTGTAAAATTGTAATAAACTAACAAGAGTTACTTCTATTTTCGTTAGGCCATTTTCGTCAACTGCTAGTTAATAGGTCTGGTCTATTAATTTTATCATGTGGTTAAAACGAAAAACAAGACAGGCCTGTCTTGTTTTTCGTTTGAAATATTTCGTAAGTACTTAATTAACATTTTTTAAGCTTGATATATTCTACAGCTGGGATGGGCCGATATCAAGTGTAGGTTGCGGATGTATGGATGTACCGCGGGCCGATTCTGTGCAAGAGCAGGATCGGCACGATTTTCATCAGTCGGCGCCACATATATATCCCTAAACGCGGCCTCAATCTGTCACTCACCCGCCCTGCCCAAACACAAGATCGCCTGTGGGTAAACATGGACCGTAATCTTCTGTTTAAACCAAGAAGTATGTAGGTACTACGGATGACCGACAGTGCTGTAGGAGATGGTATAGAGCAGATGGGAGAACTTGAAAATGGTCAGGTTAGGTTAGGCGCCTATAGTGGGAAAAGTAAAACGGGGGTCCTTGGTAGTATTGGCTACAGGCCTTGTGCTAGCTTAATTTTGCAATGATATTATTCATACCTAGGTATTTCCTATTTGATGAAACGTGGTGACACGAAGGTTAAGCACCTGCTTCTCATGCATAAGGAGGCGAGTTCAAAACGTATACTAGCTAAAGTACCTAGCTTTTCGAACTTTGATTTCTAATTAAAGTTTGATATGGTCAATCCACCTTGAGCAAGCGTGGTAATTTACGCTCGAAACGTTCTCCATGTAAGAAGAGGCCTTTGTTCAGCAGTAGGCACTTACATATTTTTGGAAAGCAATTTTGTTTAGGCAAACGTAGTATATACCTTTCTGGCCTTCTGTTATGTGAAGTGAAAGATTTTCTATATACCTTACTCAGTACTGTAGTGACAATTGCAACTTAAAAAATATCAGGTACTGAAGAACGACATCGCTGCTAACATGCTAACAAGAATTGAATGGAACATATTCAACGGAATTGTTTGGCCAATCCAAATAAAGAAAGAAAGAAATAACCGGATACGGCTTAATCATTTTTCTTAGAAATGCTATTTCGAGTATCCTATGTATTGCAAGGACCTCACTGTACTCTCAATGCTAATGAAAATTAAAACAAGACTCTAATAAACGTAATCATACTTTATTTCATAAAGATATCGTTACAATACAGACATACATTTGTCAACTTACGAATAACCTTATTGTTACAAACTTACTACCGTATAAATATACTATGCATGTAATACATATACCTTGTGTATTTTATCTACAAACCAATTTTTAAATTATTAAAATTTTGACTAGAAGCGACAATTTTGAACAATATTCAATAACAATAATAATACATTTTTCGAAAAATAACATCTTCATAGACATAATCCAATAATATAATATAGTAACATATCACTTGTTATACATAAGTTGTACATATAATTTGTTGTGCCAATTAACTCCGTGATTACGTTAAAGTCATCTATAATTAATTTACAATGTTTATCTTAATCACTATATTTATTATGCATTCTAATAATTAACAAGACAGTTGTGATGTCTGTTTGTGTAATCGTATGTTTCATGTGCTACAGAATAATCATAATATTTATGCGATAAACAAAGCGGTTATATGTTCTTAACAGTTAAATAAAGCTACGTAATTATGCAAACATACTTTGTGTAGAATATAGATATAAAAAAATACGATTAATTGCAATACATGTCGCATATGTATATGAAAAGGTTACAATAATTGAATCACAAGTTTACATATATTGTTACTACAAAGCTAGTTATATTAATCCAATACAAGAATAGAATATAAACGGTTATTTTAACAACTGCGGGAAATTATTTCCCTGGTTCTCTGGCTATCATGGACAGAAATATATTTTGATTAGCTAAATTACAAACAGTTGGAAGTACAAATTTCAAAAAACCTTTGGCGAGTAATAATCAATTCCTCAAATAATCTTAGTTCGATAAAACTTACGTAATAGTAAACCTACTGATGATCGCTTCGGTAATTACGTCGCCTTTTCGCGAACTGCAGCTGCATTATGCATTCAAGTCAAAAGTTAGAAATTTAAAAGAAAAGAAAAGGTCCGAAGGTATTTCCACTGAGGAATACAATTACTTGGTTGGTTAACGAATGCACCATGTATGGAAATTGTCGACATCGTAATAATTTACAAGATCAAAACTTTTAGTTTCGTGTATTCATAGCTCGCGAAAAGGCGCAAGTATAATGTTCTCTATGCTTGTTGAGTGTACGTCGACCAGGATGCAAATAGGTTAAACTAAATTGAAATAATCCTGAATTTTTTTCTGATAGTGAATAAAAATGTCTGATGATCGGACAAAAAGAAATTGTTCAACTTTAAGGAAGTTTTTCTATAATGTACTTGGCTAGCTACATCCCGGTTTCGCCACAGCTAACAAGAGGTCTATTTGCTGAACTATTCCATATTCAATGTCCTGGGGTAGAACATGAATTTCTACATCGATGGTAACTTTATCACCGCAACTCAGGCCTCTGCCTACACCTAGGGGTACGAACGTAATCATGGATTTTTCATATAATACTGCTGGTATGTCTAGTATGGGTATTGGTAAAAAACATATTACAAGTTATAAGTAACTGTCGGTTTTTGATTATATTTTTCTAATGAATAACAGAATACATCCCGCATGTTCAGACTGGTCTGATATTATTGTTCTTTTTTTGTTTGTGAGACTGATCAGACAGTACTTACTTGAATAACGGCTGTCCACAACCCGAGAGCCAAGAAATGGCAACGAGAGGCAAAGAATGCTCAAGATCGAGCCAAGCATGAAGACATCAGTAATGACGATGGCATTCAGCCAAAATAACGCTACAAAGAAGAAAATATTACTTTACTTGTTTGGATTTACTTAAAAATGCTGCCGCAGTGCTCATCATGAGACAAAGATATTTACATACGTCTTAAAACTAACATACACTAATATAAGAACTATGGAATCCTGATTCCTGTATCCATATCGTTTTTCCTTTCCGAATAAGTGGAACCAAAAGCATTTAAGTTAAAAATGTAATTTCTACTACTATCTTTGGACCGAAAATTGTCGAATGATGCATTTAATACATAAAGAAAACATTTTCTACGCAAAGATTCGTATCGAGTGACGAAATCAGTTTATAATATATAAATAAATATTTATGCAAGCTCAATTCCATAAAAAAGAAATGTGTTTTTAAAGAAACGCAGACGCGATGTTGGGAATCAGTGTTTTTCGCTGGTTTACTATGTATGAACGTTATGTAAACCTATTTGTAACATCATGTTGTGACATTGAATCTATGTATGCAAGTTTATCTCTGTCGGTACGTGAAGAAGACGTGCAAACAATTTTAACCTATGCCTCTAACGCTATCGACACTACTTCCACTTCACAATAATATTAGAAAGATATATGTCGCTATAAAATCGATATTCGTTTACGTCGTAAGTAAATATGTACCTAGGTAATTGTATATAACCTGCAATTAACTGATAGGTATTTTATACCAAAACCAAAAAAAAATTTTTTTTTGCTTTGTTGGATAGGACACATCTGAAATTCACATCCGTGGATGAATAGCATTCGAAGTACCTAAATGAGAAAGTTATTATTTGTTTTAAACGCTAATTGTTACGTGCTAACACTTACCTACACAAATATTTGGTGACGACAGAAATTATAAGTGGGATAATTCTTTTCAATAAAATTTAAAGTTTCTCAATTTGTAATATGATATTGAGTTCAAATTGGGGAATCGACGAAAACATGAGTATCGCTGTTAAGAGTCAATTTTATAACTTACTCTATACTTAAAACTTGTTCGCATTAAATTGTTCTCGCAGACTGCAAACTTGAATCGCACAGACGATTTTACGGGACAAGAAAAAGGATGGTAAGTATGTCAAAGTCAAAAATGCAATGTTAGCTGATAGATTAGTCTGAAATCTGCGGGATCACTAAAGTTAACCTTTACGTTACTTCTGACTTGCGTCAACAACACAACAATATTTCAAGCAGGACTACTTAAACTCGCACGCGATACATAGCGTAGCTTTCTAAACTACAATATCACATTGCTTACTTGATAACGATGCTAAAATTAGCGTGTCGTCGTCCATATTATCGACTTTTCATTGACGCAGATTTCCGATAGCTGTGTTAGTACTTATATGAATGAGTACCTACTTATATTAATGAGGTAAGCGGCGTAAAATTACTATGTATTACTAAACGCGGTTGTTTTTTACCCGTAACCGAATGTACCTAACCGATGAATTTAATTTACACAAAATCTAGGTTCTATCGAGAAAATTTCGTTACTCGATCCTCTTTGTAAAATATTGCACATAACACACTAATCATATAATTTGAATAGGCCAGAAAATTGAAGTCTTAATGAAATATAAAATTTCAAATATTTTTGTTTTCTTTTTTATTTTTTTTTTATTTCATTTCTGTTTTATATATATGTTAGTAGTATGACGGTAGTATGGTAGTGTCAGTTATATGTTACTTATTTTCTAAATGTTAGTAAGAGTTAGTTTTGTTTGACAAATCCTCTTCACCGGGGAGGGCTCTAGTCTTCTTCACTTACATCTGTCTTGTTGCAATAGTTTGCCAATTATTTTCCTTTAAAACGGCATTTTTATAGCTTTTATGACAGGACATCAGTATCCTTTGTTAGCTCCGTTATACTTGTGTTAATACTATGCGGTGTATGTTTCGAATTTTGCTCTTTTCCATAGAGTTGTCTCTTATGTAGTCGAATTACTTGTAGTAGTCGATAAAACCCAGATAGCGTGACTTATTAAATAAAATAATTCATAATGAAATTATGTTAATGAATTAATGAGCATACAATCGACTTTAATTAGGATGAAAAATGATTAATTAGAGATCATTTGTGTCGGCGAAAACTGATCAATATTATAGAAGTATTTTTGATACTTGCAACACTATCATTATGGTTTTTAGATAAAAAATAATATGCGAAAAAGTGTATTTTAATTATTTTACGTAAGTTAGAACATATTTTACATATGTTTATTTTTTTTTCAATTTATTTTATCGAAAATATTATTTTATGATAAAAAATAATGGTTACCAATTTTAAATAATACCGGGTAGGAGTGAACAATTGAATGAGTCTTAGAATAACTTATATTAGTTTGTGACCTAACTAAATAATACTCTTGCAATGGACGTACTAAAATACACCATTAAGTAGGTAGATTTGGCGCCACAACGATCTCGGATTCTGTTTGCTTTAGCGTCAGGTAGAGCTTCCTAAGTTCCTAATAGATTAGAATTGTGCCCGATGATGCCCGAAAACTAATTGTCAACAACAGGGTGGAAACTCTTTGTAATCCTCGGCTACCACTCTGCAAATAATAAATGAGGAAGAAGAATATAACCACGTGTGTTTTACGGCAAGCACACAAAGGCACGTGCAAACTACCAAACTTCGTACGCCGTAACCACAGACAGTCACGAGAATGACCATCGTAGTTGCCTTTGCCGCTTGCCACAACAATGACACTGTTGTCGACTATGAAGAATAACAGAACCAATAAGGAATTCGGACAGGACTCAATACTATTTTAATAATTTTACTCGTCCATTGCAGAGCACGGGCATTCGATACTAGAAAATACCACGCATCCAAACACACTCGCCAGTTATGGGACTAAAATCAATTTTTATTGCGAATAAATAAAATTTTTAGTGTATTTTTCATATGTCGTTGCGGATGGTTTTTAAGGTTTGTATCTGACATAAATTTGGATTTGATATTCATACATGCGACCGACTTGCGTCTGGAACAAACAATTTGTAAGTCTATTGAGGTAAATATACCGTTTCAAAAGTTCAAAGGACAATGACATAAAATGAGTTGATAAATACTGCGTTAAATGTATTTATGGAATGAGGTATTGTTGCAAAAACTCGATTGTTACAGACGCACATTATTATCAACTACGCAATTATTTTCAATACACATTAAAACTAGCGTTTTTTTTTCTTTTCAGTATTATTAAAAAAGAAACTATTACTATCAATTTTAGACAACATCAATAAACCTACTTTACAACCATTTCTCTAGTCTAAAATATCTAAAACTATGAAAACTTCTTTTCTAAATGTCTAAAGCTGTGAAAACTACCGTAATAACGTACCTAAAATTTTTTAACTAGGTGTATCAACCAATTTACATATGTGTTTTACAAAGCTTGTCGCCAATTGATCAATTCCCAATCTCAATGTATCGTGTAGAATCAATTGATCTCATTGATCTTGTCGATTAAATGTTAGTAGACACGATTTAACGCGATATTTTTGACATGGCATGGAATTGTTACCATTTGAGATAATAGCAGACCTTTTTTTATTTAATTTTTTTTTGTTCTTTTTTTATTGTAAGTTGACTATGACACTATTGACACACTCCCGGCTCATGTCACGTAGGTTAATTATACGTATCACATGTACTAAATAAATCGAATTGAATCATGTACAATGTATTAACGTCAGTTGGTTAGAAATTATACCAGCAAAATATTGTGCGCAAAAATGAAAGAAAAATTGCGCAAAGTAATAAAGATCCCGGATATTTATAGGTATACCGAAATATTAATTGACATTAATAAATTGTACAAAAAATACTACCAAAACCAAACTTACTAAAAACTACAGAGGCAAGTAAAATGGCGAAAATTAAAAACTAAACGTATCGATTAACTAGTTAGTACTACTTATAAAAAATGCTACTTTAATTGATTTATGTGTACGGAAGAAAAATAAAAAGTTAATGACAATATACTATAATGTATCAGTAAAAAAACGAAATGAGCAAATGAGGTGTAGAGACGGGAAAATATATCGTGCTATGTTTTCTTATTTAATACACATGAAGTTGCGAAAAACTAAAATTACATAAATCGCTAACAAATTACTCACTACAATTATTATAATAATATACTATATACTACTTAATACCCTGAACAGCGATAATCACCAGAAAATATAAATAGGAGATATTGAAAGCCGATTTGAGATCCAACATTCAGACTAATTATGTTATGTTTGTGCGATAGGACAGGACGAGCATGTCTCGATAGTTACACGTTACGCGGCATTACTTAGGTGATGCACAGCCATCAACTATGGGGTCAATGCCCTTTGACAAATCATGCCCCAAGACAGATAGGCAGTTATTAAAACTTGCAGAGCTGCCAAAATGGATTTCTGCGTCCTAACGCCCATTTGAACTTGAGAAAACAACCCTCGAAACAATCGTAATAGGACGAGTAAAGGTGCTTGGGAACTGCGCCCTAAATGTATCCGGTAGAACAAAGACCTCGGTACTTGTATCGTTATGTATATCTTTGGTGAATTGCGCCTGATCCGAATACGTGCCTTCATCACTAAAACATGAACCATCAATGTAAATTTAGTATCTGACTTTTATTGATTATGACGTTTTGCATTTCAAATATTGGTAGTGTTTGTATCGGGCGCAGGACAAGGAATTAGTCTTTGTCCAAATCGACGTTGACGAACGGCTTTTTGACAGTTGTGCAGCGAGTTATATCTGCGTGCTTCATCATCGATTAGGTCAAACAAAATCAAAGTATATCTAACAAAATCCTATTCGGATAGAGTACCTACGCTACACACTCCAACGTTAGATAAAATTCGATAACCACCACATACATATTGTCATAGATATAGTGATGCAGATATTCATGACATACAGATATCTATGAATTGCACTTCACTCCAGAACTGTTTTGAGTTAAGAATTTCACCAAATCCGTACAGTATGCAAGATATAAATTGAATGTAATAACCAAAAAATGATTTAAATATTTGTATTTTAAGTGTCCGTTCCTAGCGCCGCAAGATTTTTAGTTTTGATATACATGTTTTTATATAAAGACATTCCCCTAAAGATTAAATCACTTTTATAAGAGACTTTGAATAGTATACGAGACTTATTCTAAAACTAACAATTTAAACAGATAGGTTCACGAATTTCAAAACAGTTCTACACTAAAGGCTCTATGTCATTCGGTATTATAATAACGATTTCTAGAAAAGAATAAACTTCTGTGGTACCGTTGACTGGGTCCTGTGTCACAGCAATTGATATCCACCATGCGACGCTCGGTCCTACAGCCGAACAAGCTTTACAAGTGACAGCCATCAGGCAATATCTAATATCTTGATCTAACAAATTAAATGACACTGCTGATACGCTTTACAATTATCTTCCATATTTTTGACAGAAGGTTTTTGAAAGTCATATTTGTGTTATAAAGAAGAATAATATCAATAATATGTTTAGATGTTTTTGATTCTAGTAGAGGGCCGCTTAGCAGTTTAGAAAGATCAACGATATACCGACGTAAACGCCAGCAGTAAAGGCTAGGGGTCGGAAGGTTATTCGCTTTGCGTATATAATTGTAAGGAAAAATAAAATTCGCATAAAGCTAAGGACGAATTTCTTCAAAATCCTGCGTCCCTCGTAAGTTTCAAGTAGTTTCACACCAACATCCATATAGACATACCAAGAAGACAGTTGTAAACTGTCTTAGAAGTTAAAGAGAAAACAGTAACTTTCGCGTAATTATGAAAAAATTGGTTTTAGTAAGACCGACAATGATATACAGTTGTTTATTACTTTGGTTTTAGCTATAACTAGGAGGATCTTACAATAAAAACTAACCAATGTTAGCGGTAACTTAATTCTAATGAAAAAATCAGTAGTCAGTGTGTCCACTGCCACCGTCACCTCTAGCTGTTGGGGTGGAGACGATCACAGTAACATGTGCTTGACTTGCTACTGAAGTGATGGTTAGTTCTGGCTGGTGATCAGCCCAAAGCAGGCCGAGGGCACTTCCCACCCTCGAGCAGGGCAGTAGAATGACTCAGACTCTCTCAGCGTCCGATCTCCAGATCTAAACTATACGTGCTACGTCGTACCGTCTAATCTAAGCAAATATATTACGTGTCTCAGTGTCTCGACAGTAGTCGTGGGTGATTAGTCGATGTTATGAAACTTAAGGATCGCCCTCCCTGTGATCTCGGAGTTGCACAGCTTCCTGACGACCTCCTGCGCCTCCTCCGCTGGGAACACCGAGTGTGGTGGGGGCTCGATCTGTTCACAATATTTTACAATTTTAATGTGCATTTCCTCGAACAATTAGTAGACTTCAACAGACCGATGCACTACAATCAAAGATGTTAAAACAATAAAAATAAAATTCATTAAGACGATGTCATATTATGTGATTTCTATCGTGAATTTCAGGTTATGTAATTTGAGACAAAATCCTTGACCGGCAATTATATTCTGGTTTCGAACTTGACCGTTTGTGTAGCGAGGCGTAATTTTTTCAATTGGCTCCGAGTCTCGAGTGATGTCGCGACGTGACGTCACGGCATCATTGCGATTGTATTAGACAGGACTAACCACATCCAGTGGGAGGATGACAGGATACTGCAGAATCAAGTTTCCTCTAACCTGACTGGAAGAAGGGGACTCGGTCTATTTTAGCTAGAAATTAATTTTGTATACTACGCCAAGTCTGTTGTTTGAAAGGGTGGACGTTGTAGTGGCGTATATTGTGTATTGATTCTTAGTAACTAATAGGTACATACTTTTCTATTCCATTGTATATACCCCTTACACGTTTTATCATTGAATAATTTGAATTGCAACACTACGACTAAGTATTATTTATATCAATCATAATATTCTACTTGTTCGTCACTCTTTAAACATTTATAACGGAACCGTCATCATACATTGGTTGGCGACATTTGTACGTTTTTACGAAACCTTCTGTCTTGCACAGCATAACTATGAAATAATTTATAGCAGGCAGTAATCCCAAACTAATACCTATTACCTTCAAACCTTAATGAAACTTAGTTCATTGCGGCTTAACGGGGCTTTATATAATATAATGGTTAATCAGTTGTAAGACCCGAAAATTGTATAACATGGTATATTAACACGCTTGTAAACGAAGAATTAAAGTGAGTTATCGCAGTATATTATTCAATTACACCTATATGAAAAGAGAATGACATTCACTACTAATATTACAAATGCGAAAGTTTGTAATACGCTGGATTCAAACATAATAGGCTGATGAAGATAAGTCTATGTAAAAATTCTGTTCGATGCAAATAGCAATATTACTCGAAATCGCGAGAACAATGTTTATTAACAGATACTTAACACGGTATTAATATATTACTTTGGTTTTGCATTATATGAAAATTACCAGGATAAATGCACAGTCATTTATACCAAGAAAAACAATACAATAGACGTAAATTGGCAATAAATTACATTATTCAACCAACAGTCTATGATGATTGCCATTTATCAATACCAATTTAGCAATGTATGTACGTTTTGTTCAAAACCCATTGAAGACAAAACATTGCCGAACTAACATTACAGAACATTATGTAAAATGTCAGTATGTACTTAAATAAATAAAAAAAAATGTCACACCCCTGAACCGGCAAAAATAGGCAAAAGAGATTTTAACTATTAATAAAAAAAGGAAACTAAAAAAACAAATAGGTATAGACACATGTAGCAAAGCAGCAAAAATTTAATAAAATAAAATAAAGAATCGAACGCAGGATTGTAAAAAAAACTCACATTAAATTATTTCACCGATGATTTACGAGGACCTAGAGCAGAAAGAGATCTGCATGGAAACACTGGAGCGGCTGCACTGGCAACATGCACCGTGGACAGTGAAATATATCATGATCGGTAGCTAACACTGCAATTGGATAAATTGGTCTAAATTGGACCTTGCATTGAGGGACAGAATCGCCGAATTGCCCCCTTGTGAATCAATCAATGCAGTGTACATAAGCCACTGTACACAGTTGCAAATGTGAAAGGATTATCGCACATTATATGCGGAAAAACTAAATTTTCGCTTTAGTTTTTTATAAAATAACGGATACGATGCGAATCCTAACATGAAAATTACCGAAATATTTCTTAATAGCTACTCTCGCGCAGTTTCACCCGCTGCTCGGCTCCTACAGATCGTGGCGTGATGTTTTATAGCCTTCCTCAATAAATGGTGTATTAAACACAAAAATAATTGTCCAATTCAAATCAGTAGTTCCTGAGATTTGCGCGTTCAAACAAACAACCAAACTCTCCAGCTTTATAATATTAGTATAGATTAATCTATTATTAAACCTAAAAACTAACTAGAGTCAAACTATAAAGAGGACACAAATGGAATGCAAATATACATAGCTATAATGTTATACTCACTTCACCCCTAGCCACAAGGCTGACCAGTTCTTTGAGCTGCTCTATGGATCCGTTGGGTACAATTTCTATGTGCACGTTCATCTCCTCAGCTTTCTTTGCGAATTTGGGCAAAAGCTTCTCTCCCACATCTTCAGTTACTAGAACCACTCCACCCTACAGGAATATATCCATTAATACAATAATGTAATCCTGGCCGACCATCATTACCCTCTTTATATCAAAGTAGGTAGGATTGTAAGCCCATGTTGTTTTCACTGATAGTACCTGAATTATTATTAATAACTTTAGGCAGCTTATGTGATCATGATAACGATAACTGTTTCGTTTAAAATAATATTGGGTGCTAAAAGCGAAAGTAAACAGCCTCCCGTCACATATTCTAAAATATCTAAAACAATAAGTATCACAAAGATTTGTTTTTTTTTGCTATTTCAACACTAGGACATACCTGAGCGAGACATTGCAACGATCTATGGAGTGACCTTGAAGTGGTACCAAAGTTGAGCACCACATCCACAGGACCACCACACGCGTCTGTAGTCCTTTCGATGAGCTGCTTTTCATATGCATCTTCGTTCCACTGCACTACTTTGACTCTGCACCAAAAATAATGCGAAGCTGTATGGTGTAGCTATGACTTTCTCTAACGAAGAGGATAGAATGGTATGAGAATACAATTTGTGTGGAAAAGATGGAAATACTGGTCTCGGTAAAAGACTTCTTATGTGGAATCGTACCAAAATGTTTTATAACCAAACTTTGTACCTCCATGTATTCCTTGGATTCCAATATTTATAGCCATCAGTTAGCGACGCAGTGAAGGCAGAGCTTAAGATAATTTGTGTTTAGGGAGTTGAATATTGAATAGAGAGTTCGCGACTGCGATCGGGCTACAAGCTAATTATCTAATAAAACCAATCTGGCTCAGTCGATCCACCTATTGTGCACTGACAATGCAGTTTGCATCGAGATTATTCTTTCCGCTCATCTTCAAGTGGTCACATATCTTTAACACTATAGTTACCGTGCGAAAATTCATCATGTTTGGCATATACAAAACAAACAATGTCTTTTCACTTGATGTTTTGAGTTGAAGCTCTAGCATTAAGAAAGTAAAACCGAAGAATATGACGAATTCTTTCGTTTCACCAAAAAATGACAAGTATCATTGCTCTTAATTATGTAGGTACCTACTAGAGTACATGAGTTGTCTCAACGCTAGCTATTGCTGACGACAAAAATTTAATCATTGCACATGGATATTAATTCGTCCTCAATAACCTTGTATAAATACTAACATAAATATTTATATGTTGTATCATCCACATACTGAAATGAGAAGTGAAGCTTGTCAGATAACAGAATGAATACAGTAAATAGAGAGTAATACTCACTCTTCACATTCCTTTGCCAAAATAAATCCTTCGTCTTTGAGGGTAGCCACGCATATCCCGATGCGATTGTTATACGAAGCATGTTTAAAGTAATGTGTGGCAATACGAAGTGCCCACAACGCCAACCCACCAGTTCCAACAATCAAAACCGTCGTGGTCTCTTTTTTCGTTGGCCCATCCAGTACTTTCTTTAAACACTCTCCAGCCGTAGCCACCGTGTTCGTGGCTAATAAGGCGCCAGTGGGCAGCATGGCAGCCACGCTCAGTGGCAACTCATCGGGTATAGGTACTAAACATTTAAAATCTGGTACAACGATGTACTCCGCGTACCCATTAGGTACACCATCGTAGGGATACAGAACGATTCTCGACCCTTCTTTGATTCCGTCCAATCTTTCCGCAGCTTTACCTATGGCATCTACCACACCGGCGACTTCGTATCCAGGAAACAGAGCGCCGTCTCTCAGACCTATATGAGCAGGAGTAGCATGAGTATGGATGCCAAAGTTTTCCATTTCTCCGGAGAGGCTGCCTATGGAAGATATGGAGGAAGTACTGCAGACTGAAGCAGAACGAGTCTTGTTCGCCCTGTAGCAGGCTCCGGCGTACACCACCCGGATCCTCGCGCCATACATGGGAACATCTGGGACAGGCACGTCAAAACTGAACACACATTCCCTGAGAGTCGGCCCGGGGGACTCAATGGATACTTGTCTGCACAGCTTACTCATTTTATTATCTGCGAACAAACAAAACCAACTCGTTAAAATATTTACATACCGTAAATTTTGAGCACAGTCAATAACAATTGTTCAGTGTTCGGCACTTCAAATTGTCTTTACCCACCCCGTCACGTACGTTTTCAAATTGAAATAACTATCTTGAATTAAAATTTTATTAAAGTGTCTCATAAAGACAAGTAGTCGTAATTATCGCGCTACGTCCGCCCGACCCGAGAACGAATACAGTTCTGAAGTTAGGAAAACTCACTATCTTTTCGTAAACAAATCGATACAAGAGATAACAAAAACAGTAGCTAAAGTGTCATTTCATACAACAATGAAAAGCGTAAACAAGAAGCACAACAGAAATTTCCTTTACATCTACATAGATTATGTTTAAAAATGCTGTCCTTATAAAACAGTTTTTGATTGTAACCCTGTAGTACTGCAGGTGAAAATATTATTGTATCACCTCAAACGTGCTAGTTGTTAATCCATCGATCTGACTGTAAAGACCACATTAGAAGCATCCTTTTCAATCGAATTTGACAATCTGAGGAACAGGCAAATGAGGACGTTATGCCATATCGCACAAGTTTTATTGAATCACTGTCTCTTACGATGCAGTTTTTTGTAGGTAAAAGCAAAGCATTGTACACTGGCTACGCAAATATAGATTTAATTTATCAATATCTTCTAAAGTGAGCTTTTTCATTCTATCGATCGATTCTATTTATTGTATTCTACACTTACAAATGTTGAATACAAATACATATTTTTCTAAAGCGATGGAAATGTTTATTTCCATTTGTTAACACGTGATAAGTTAATAGGTGATTAAATAATCATTGCTATTTCACGCTCCTCTCACAAAGGAAACCAAGAATATGCGTGAAGGTAATTAATAGTACGCGTGACATGGCGGGTTAGGCATTTTATAACATACCCACACATTACAGAATCACATGTTCCACTATTGACACTGATGGTTATTTCACCGTCATGATTGGCTTCAATTCCTCGGATATTTATTATACGTAGGTTCAGGGTAACATGTCGTAGTGGCCCGGAGGTTAAGGCGCCCGCTTCTCATGCATGAGGGTGTGGGTTCGAAACCTGGCAAGTACCAATGTGACTTTTTCCGAGTTATATTTACCTACTTTCTATGATTATTTAGACACCACTGACACACGGTGAAGGTAAACATCGTGAGGAAACCTGGACTTATAATTTCTAATTATAAGTTTGAAATCGCCAACCCGCATTGAGCAAGCGTGGTGATTAATGCTCTAACCTTCTCCGTATGAGAAGAGGCCTTTGATCAGCAGTGGGTACTTATAGGCTGATGATGATGATGATGATGATGATGATGATGATGATGATAAGGTTTAGGGTGTAACAAATCTTTTATTTTTACAAGGCTTAGTGAGAAACAAGGAAAAAGCAGTTTATTTAGTCTTCACTACATAATAAAAAACAATTTCGCTTTCTCTGTCCCTACATCTCTAAGTTTGCTTATATCCTAAAAATTACGCAATGGATTTTGTTGCGGTTTTTTATAGATAGAGTGATTAAAGAAGAACATTTGTGCGTATAATAACATCAGGTAGGTAAATAGTGACAACTATAAATCTAAGCTCAATTTTCGCATAAGCGACTGCTGGCTGTGCTTCTCATCGATTCGATGCTCATTTTTTGAACTAGCAAGTGTTCTGAAATGACTTATTTTTAGAAAAAAGGTTATTGCATTTGTTTTCTGAAATAAGTATTTGTTATTATTATACATTATCCCTACATCGCGTTTTTTTATCTTAGGTACAGAAAAATTACATTATTTTAATCGTCAACGCCAGGATAACGGACCAAACGATTTATTGTTTTATTGTCTTTTGTTGTTCTTCGTTTAATTGTCTTTAATCAATATCTTTAACAAAAGGTAGCAAATATTTAACTATAGGCAGTAAATAGTAGCAAATAGGTATTATATAGCACACATGGTCTCTGGGTCTCGTTTGGTCCAGCCATCATGACGCTGACCATTATATCAAGTTACCGGCAAGGATTCTTGCGAAGGAAAGTAGGTTTATTTCGAGTTGTGTGAATTTTGGGAATGCTGGTCGGATTCCCAAAATTCTTTCACTGATACGAAGCTATAATGTTCCTGAGTACTATAGGCTATAAAACATCACGCTGAGCAGCGGGTGAAACCGCGCGAGAGTAGCTAGTATGGTATAAGTCTGCAAACAAGCCAACTATGCTATGCCTAATAGTAAGCAACCATGGACACCAAGGGAGTAGTTATGAGTGCGTTGCCGGCCTTTAAGGGATAAGTCTTTCGGATATTTAATGCATGGGTGAGGTGAGGGATTGGGCTTCCGGTTACCTCACTCATACGGCGAAACACAACGCTGTGGTTATTTCACGACGGTTTTCTGTGAGGCCGTGGTTTCACTTCGGTTGAGCCAGCCCGATTTGATTTTCTAATGATTCTGATTTTTAAATAGTGAAATAGTATGACAATCGATTTTTCCCAATTATATGTATATCTTTCCTGGACGCTCCAGCTAGGTGGACTGACGACATCCGCAAGGTGGCTGGCAGTGGTTGGATGAGAAGAGCTGAACATCGAGCTCAGTGGCGTGCAATTGGGGAGGCCTATGTCCAGCAGTGGACGACTACAGGCTGATGATGATTCCTGGACGCTATAGGTATTTTAGCTGCTCCAAGTTATCTATTCAATACGATCCCTTCCAAAAACGAAATAAAATCCATCTGCTAAAAAAAATTGCATAGAATTTCATATATACACTGTACAATGTACATACATACAACGTAAAAACATATTGGCTAGGAGCCAAAATATTGACCTGCAAATGGAGATCCTGTCATACCTTTTTAGTTTTGCTTCTATTGGTTTCAAGCAGTTGGAAATTATAATATGTAAATAAACTTTAGTTAAAGCAGGTGACAACGCAGATGAAATCATACAAATTTGTACGTAGGTAGTTCGTAGATGTACGACGAGTATAAACTCATTTTCCTCCACCGTATGTTTGTCATTGTTTACAGTTTAATGAACTAATTTAACGAAGCGACGAGATTTTAACAAAGAACGCAAATAACAAAGAAAACCATGATGGCCGACTGTGTTTATTTAATATTACGGTGGGAAGGTTACAGTTGTTCGCGTTCGAAAGATGCATGGATTGATTGTGATAGGCAGCTACAATATGCAATAGTAATAAATTGCATGCGACAATTGGCGTCAATAGTCGCCTTCCGCCTCGTACACAAGGCGCGAATTGTTGCGAAAATTGCTAACATTTACATATAAGTGCTCCCATGTAGGTACACACTGATTTATTTGATCTACAATGACCTCTGCATCTTCAGGGCTTAATATGCTAAACTTAAATGGGTTTGACTTAATGCATAGATATTCGATTGTGATATTATTGTGACAAAACCAGACTAAGAACTACTAAGAAGTTAAGAACAACGACAAAATATAGTGAAAATATCAACAAGGTGCACAGCGTGCACGTCTGCACGTTTTAAACAATAGGTAGACGCTGGTCCTGTTCTCAAGCGCGTATTAATAAATATACGTGCGGCTAAATCACGCGACCGAACTGTGGTATTTTATTGATAACTAGCTTTTGCCAGCGACTTTGTTCGCGTGGCATGATTAGTGACTTTTTTATGTGATAGGTCGTCAAACGAGTAAACGGATTACCTGATGGTAAGCAATCAGCGCCGCAAATGGACACACGCAACGAAGGAGTAGTTACGAGTGCGTTGCCGACCTTTTGGGGATTAGGGATTTGGAGATTTTGGGAATTAGGAGGGATTAGGGGAGGGGAAGAATTTCAAACGAATAGGTTCAGTAGTTAAGGTGTGAAGAAAAGACAGACAGACAGACAGACTTACATTTGCATTTATACTATTAGTATGGATAAAAATACGTATGAGTATCATACTTACACCGGCACCGTGTTCAAACATTGTACTCTATTTATTTACGCGAGGAGGTCTATTGGGACAAATACATTTCAATTGATGTCTTGTTTAGACAATTCTAGAGTGACGGATTGTTCTACGATTTTGGGGACTTGTTTGCAAGTGGCAACATTTTAGTTAACGATGTTCATTTGTGTAGTCTACCTCGTTAGTTGATGAAATGGCTATGTTATGGTAACAATATCGTATGATAATAAAATTGAGGCAAGGCCTTGCTTGGTGGTTCTAGGATTTGCAGAAAACATTTTTTTTTATGTAATAGGACGGCAAACGAGCAGACGGATTACCTGATGGTAAGCAATCGGCGTCGCCCATGGACGGGTGTCCATGGGCAAAAAACACGGAATAGAAAATTTTCTGTTCTGTGGCAAAGAAGAAGGAGTTACGAGTGCGTTGCCGACCTTTTAAGGATTGGGTTTTTGGGGATTTAGGAATTGGGAAGGGATTAGGGTAGGGGAAGGATTGGGCCTCCGGTAACCTCACTCACACGGCGAAACACAACGTTGTGGTTGTTTCACGCCGGTTTTCTGTGAGGCCGTGGTATCACTCCGGTCGAGCCAACCAATTCGTGCCGAAGCATGGCTCTCCCACACTTAGAACAAAGAACATTTAGAACAAAGAAAATTTTCTTAGTGTCCAATGGATGTAGGTATCTCAATATAGATCATCAATCATAGGTAATTAGGGAACTAATTATTCTAAGCAGTTATGTTCCCACTGTTAGCTTTGTACTGTTTGTAAATATGAATCAATAAACAGTGATAAGACAATTGATTACTGTAAGTGGATTTTGGTATTAACGTTATTCTTTCTACTTTATCCTGTACTTATGTCCCTTTGCGTAGTGTAGGCAGGTATAGCTGGGCAATCCGCTTTCGCAAAATGATTCGCGTCGCGAGTACGATTCTCGCATGAAACGACTCCTTGTGATTAACAAATTGTTGTTCCTAGTACGAGTGTCAATTGTATGAGAAATTTCATGATCATAATTTTACTAATATAATTTTACTACAGGAAAACGTCCTAGTGTGCCATTAATACATATACATACTGTAAAACATAGCCGCTTTCTCTCCATAACCCCATAACCCCATGTAAACTTAAATTTTAAAACTACGCAATGGATTTTGATGCGGTTTTGTTTTTATAAAGTGTTTAATTGTATAATAACATTAAATAGCGTGAAATTTAGTACTTATCAGCATTACAACCGTGCGTCGGTAAATAAACTTTATTCTGAGGAAATATTTACCGACCAGCCCTTTTGAGGAGTTGACCTTTTATTGAGAAATGGTATTCTTTGTTCTCTCGCCCTTACTTTCGCAGCTTAGGTAGGCCCTTCATCACATCTAAGTATTGTTAATTTATCGAGGAAGCTTATCGTGTATGTGTGTAATGTCTAAATGGTACCTTGTATAAATAAAAAGACGAAAAAAAGGTTTATGTTGACCACGAATGTTGTGTTCCATTGCATTCTTTTGTTTTTGTTTAATGTTTGTAAATAAGTCAGTTTGGATGCATATCTAGTGTATAAAAATACGAAACTTTTTACGCTCAAAAAATTGACTACATTTTTGCTCTATGTTTCCACATAGGCACAGGGTTGACAGAGTATACCTAGTTTCGTAGTAAAGAGGATATAACTCGATATACTTACTTACCTACTTAATGTAGGTACATGAGGAGTACCTTAGTAAGTATATGTATATTGCTACAAAGTAGTCTTTTGTTTTGTTAAAATTGTCATTGTTTTGTTTTTGGATGCAAGATTAAGGTAGCGAGTGACCTAGATAATATTAAGCCATTTTGCATGGAATTAGAAAATACAATACAATGAATCAGATGGAATCAGGACTAACCCTTAATAGTCCGAGAAAACAAACGTCACAAACGTTAGCTTATTGTTTAACTGTTTAATGTGATAATGCGTGTGCTGTTTAAATATTACATCTGTAAAGCAACAGGCGCCCACATCAATACTAAAGTCCACTTCCAAATTATGTCTCTAAAAATAGTGAGCGAGCGAGAGGGTTAAATGAATATTTTGAATATAATAATAAACAAGGATCCTGCCCTTGTTTACCAATATAAAATCAACTGTGAACGCGATCACGCTACTGGTTAGTGACCACAGAAAACATCGCAAAATTATATAAACACCACTATGACCTTCCCTTACACTGAAGGTCAAGAAAATAACAAAAAAAAAACTCCAAATGAGAACAGACAAATACTAAAAATACATTGCACTCAGTAATAAGAGCATCTTAGACAATTCGCGCCAGTAATTACATAAATAAGGCGTTTTAATATATTTTATAACAGCACTTTAATTTGTAAATAAACAATGAAACATATTGATCTTAATAATGTAAACATATTTTTACCTGATATGCTGAATAATAAACACTCTATATTTTTGTCCCAGCGACAGCTTTCCGAGCGTAAATTTAAAAATTCAAGTTTTATTTACAAGGACAAAAAGACATAGCAATGACGTCACTGACGTTTTTACACTACGCTCCGTTCCTACTGGTACGTAAGTGTATCCGTGCAATTAAAATTAGTCGTACGCGTTCCACGGCTTTGTTGATCTATCTGTTTACAAGTTTGGAGTCGGTCTTTTAAATGCGTAGTACGGAACGATGTAATTGAATTTTTAGGCGTGCAACACCGGTTTTCATCATTATTTTCAATCGGATATTGAAACAAGAATGCCAAGAAAAGAGAAAACATTGAACCATCGAAAATATTGAAGTAAGTTTAAAAATTATACCACGTTTTAAAATTTTAATCATTAAATCAGAGAATAATATTCTTATCTATAGCAGTACCGTTCAAATTTTATTATTAATTATTTATATTATTAACTTTGTGTGAAATAAATACAAAAATTTTAAGTAAATATTTTAACAATCATTAGTGATTAGGCAAAATAATTTTTGAATTAACTTTTTCGACAGTTTTCTAGTTGTCGTCCGCCCAAAATCTGATGTGTTTTTTAAACGAGCAACACAGATCGGCGTGGGTTCCGATGAATATTTTGTTAGCGTGGGTAGATTGTTAATTATTTACACGGAATTTTATCAAAAAGTGCACAGGTACGGGTCGTTACAACAAAAATATAAACTGCAGTATGGGTGAGTTAACAATTTGTTACCATTCAAACATCGCTCGCGATATTTCTTTTGTTATTGATTGATGTCATCTTCGGGGTGGTCTATCAGTGCGAAGCTTTATTTTTTTACGCCTTTGATTATTTTGTGCGGGTGCAAACGTGTTTTAAGGAAGATAGTGAGGTTTTATTTATATTTAAAGCAAAGCGAGAGTTGGTAAATATCAATGATTTTTAAAGTTAAACGAGTCCATTGTGCAAACTGATGTCTAACGAACTATGATTGTTATTGTAAGGGAGTGCTGTTAGATTATTTCTTTCATATCTTTAAAGAGACAATAATGAATGTAAATTATACTTAAAAGATCATTCATCATTTTCATAAGTCAACAAAGTGTAGCATTTGATGAAAAAAGTATGAAAATCTGGTTCTTTTTTCACTCACCATAAACTCCTCTAGATAGTGCCTACAGACCAACCAATATACTAAGTCTAAGATGTACATATTACTTAGTTGTTTTTTTAAATAATTCATAAAAGCCAAAATTAGCTCACCAAAACTCAACCTGCAGTAAAAATTAACCATATAATTAAGTAATTTATCACTGATGCACTTATATTTCATATTGTTTCTTATTACTGCTTTGTAACTAAAAAATAATAATTGATAGATACAGTTTAAAAATTAATTAAATTTTATGCACACCATTTTGCCGATATGGTTACTAAAACACTACCGAGATATTATAGAAGTCTGGAAAGTAACAAATTGAAAATTGATCATGAACATCAATAATGGTCTTTTAACCATGAAACTAAATATTTCAACCATGCTAAGAGTTTCAGAATTAAAGTAACATATCATTTTGAGCAAAGTATAATTATTTCTGTTATTTTGTATGTATTTTAATGAAAAAGTGTACATTATGTTGTGGCTGCACAGGCACCTAGCATGAAGCTGTGAACAACTGCCTGTTACTAGAACATGTCTGAAATTGTGTCTGAAGTTGTGATACCCGTCAAACATTATTTGGTAATGTTATTGCCCCTGATAAATAACTTTATTATTAAAAACTATAATTTTAATAGTATAACATTGTTAATTAATCATAGAGTAAGGACTAGAATAGAGCCACTTAAAAATACCTATAATTGTGAAAGGAATAGAACAACCATTTTACAAGGATTTCTACTTTGAACTCTTCTGTCTTTCTAATACCTTTACAACACACAACTGATAACAAACCAGCTTTTGGGTGGTCATAAGGATAAAGCAATCTATATCACTATCCGGCCTGCCTAATTATTTGCAAATGCAAAAATACAACTTTATAAACTCATTGGCAATGGGATAAAGCCAAAAAGACAAACACAGATTTTCTACATTTATTAACCAAAACCAAATATTCAGTGCATTGTTATGATGCTAAAACAGTCTTGAAACTACTTCGGCTCCATTGCAGCTGCTGCTCATCTCATATTGGATTTGTTGTTTTGAAGCCTTCATCTTTAAATTAACTATCCAACACAAAAAATATTGTTCATTTGAAACCAGTAGTTCCAGAGAATAGAGTGCTTTCAAACTTTTCAAAATTATAATGTTAGATATACTATTAATTTATTAATTAAGCACTTTTGCTAGTTAATATTATAATGAAAACTGTTACTTTTCTTTTGCTGTAGGTGGTTTTCAAACTTTTTTGAATGCTGTTGCTTTCTTTACACTTGATTACAACATTCCAACATTAGATTACATTGTTCTTACATGAACGAATTGGTACTGATCGAAAATTAGTTAGGTATCATGGAGCTACTTACTTATCCTTTTCCATGTAAATCTACATTTTGCATCAAGCAAATAGCTTTTTGAGGAGTAACTGACTCACAAGTCACTTATATTATGACTTCAAAAGTGCTTTATTAGTATAAAGTATACTAATATTGATACAAGCACTATTTCAATAAGCACACAATCCACATGAATAACACAAGCCTGAAGATTTTTCTTTTTAATGTGCTTTTACATATCTATTCTTATATTGATTTGTAATTCTGTAACATTAGTAGGCAAAAGCCTATTTACGAATATAGAAACAAAATTGCCCTTGGAAACATCTTGTTTGAAAAACTAAGTTATTTCACTTTAATTAAAAGTTTTAGTTTTTGGATTATTATCTTGTTCGGTAACAATCATTTCTTGCTTTCATGATGAAGAAAGCGAATTTGCCCAACTGTGTACAGTGTGGAGTTGTTGAGGATTGCACCACTTATTGATGAAATGTGTTCGATATGAGCCTGAGAGAAATGACTTGTTTAGGGTCTTGATGTTCAACAGACTTGAAGTAGGAACATTCCACAACATTTTATCTAAACTGAATAGCGATGATGTGAAGAGTCTGTTTAGATTCATGGCCCTGATATGAGTAGAATGTATATATTTAGGATATGATGATACACCTAGTCTTTATAAATGTCCCTAAACAAATAAAGAATAAAAAAAAAGCAAACAATCTCTGTATTTATAACAATAATTTTAGAAATTAATGTGGTGTGAACATGAGTTACACCTTTTGATCCGGTTAATTTCATCAATTCAAATAAATCAAGGTTTGGAGAATGTAACATGCATATTAAAGAATGGAAAGTGCATGACAATTGCCTATTTAAACTGCAAAGAGTGTTGTTTGTATTTGTAGTTATGTTTTTAAATATATGTACATACAGAAATTCATTGTTACATTTTACTTAAACCATTAATTTCTTTCGATCTTACAAAAGTCTCTCAATTTTAATAGATATTACAAAACTGTATGGCTCGACACTAGGAAATTGTTACTAAGTCCCTTAGTGTAGTCCTAGCTCATAGCAGATGACAGTGTATTGGCATATTTTACTAGGATCGGAATATTTTACTTATTCAGGAATATGTGGTTAACTGGTGACTCAAATCTGATCCCGAAACATTGTAAGAAAGACTATATTTTATTACGACTTTTATCCTGATATTACAAGGGCCTGATTTACTGCCTGGCTGGTTAAACCTACGTTATTAGTCAGTTTTAACTGACTAATAACGTAGGTTTAGGTAGGTTTAAGGTAGGTTACGTTTTATAGTCGGAGGACTATATACATATGTAAATGGAACATCCAATACAAAATTAACAAAATTTAAATTGTAGCTTAAGCCGAAATGTAGGACAATCACAGTCTGTTTAACATTAATCATTAGTCTTGTTGGAAAATCTTTTTTTTTCGTGCGGGGAAAATCAATAAATGACTTCTCTCGACCCGGGTGAGGCGAGGAGTGTCAGACTCTTACTGACTAAAAACCCCCCTGTTCCTTCTCCTGCTCTGTGCCGAGGTCGCGGTGCCTCATTGCGCTTACCCCGCAACCCTGGCTGAACATTTGCAATATGGAAGCTTTCTTTGATTCGAGACAACAAGTCTAATTATTATTACTTGAAGTTCCACATCCCTTTCTTTTGTCTTGATATGAGAAGGTAGTCAAAATATATTTTTGCCTGTTACATAAGTCCAAACTGTGTCATAAAACAATTTGAAAATCAAAATAAATAAAAAAACAGTAATTTCTGCCTGATCACAGAGCAGGCTATTTGATTTCGACAGTCTTACCTTCCATTAATTAACTGTCAGCGAAACAGTATATTAAACTTGAACCTTAGCCGTTGCCAATATGAAGAAGTGTCTTTTTGATGACTAACTACCGCTTACACAGGCATACTGTGAAAAACGTATTTAATTGATTTTCGTCTTTATGTAAAAGCAATAAAGTTGAAATTGTATTAATTTAATATGTACGTTTGGTATCATATTAAGCTAGCATCTATACAGATTATGAGATCATCATTGTTTTGTAAACATTCACTTACGTGACGGTTAAATATTTAAGATTTTCTAGTTATTTGATTGCCTGTGTGTAAATCGCGATCTATAATATAATTTATATATTACTAGCTACTCGCGCGGTTGCACCCGCTGCTCGGCTGCATTTGATCGTAGCCTATAGCACTCAGGAACATTGTAGCTATCTATCAATGAAAGTTTTTTCAATCCGACCAGCGGTTTCAAAGATTACTCCCTATATACAAATTTCACCTCTTTATAATATTAGTATAGATTATGTCGCGGTCAATTAGATTAATGAGTATACAATAAACGCCCTAACCTATTTTATACATACTTAACACGTTAAGTGCCATGGGGGTCACCGGTGACCTCCGTTAGCGGAGGATTTGCCTTCAACATTTTTCTGTCGGCAGACAAAGGCTTAATATTGCTGTACCATTTAGGATACCTGATGGCATTTCTAACACAGCATTATGTGCGCAACTCAGTTTTTAATGGGCTACTCTTCAACTTACGACTAGAATAAGAAAATCCCAATTCAATAATTTTGTCATTACACCGTTAGCTGGTTGGCTGTGTCTATGTTGGCAGTTTCATAAGATCATTGTTTGGAAAACATTGCTTTAACAGAGTTTCACTTGATTTTACTACATAATTTATAATATCACGTCTGTTGATTCCCAAAGGGACATTGTACAATAGTGATAGGAGTGAATCTGTCGCAACCGACAACACCGGGAGCAATTCCAGACACATATTATAACTTAGCAAAATGAAAAGCCCGACTTGAAGGTCGAAACTGATCTGTTTAATCCATTCGTATAAAGAAATAGCGGGTTGTCATCACCTTGCGTCTCGTTATTGGTCAAGTGGGGGGAAGAAAGCGATTGTTGAGTCGTCCCATCTTTTCGGTTTCTCGACACATCAAGAAATTCTATCAAAAATATGTTGCAAAAATCGCTTCATCAAGATGCTGTTTTAGAATTTGCTAGATAAGTTGTATACTTGTTAACGTATCCACGAAACAATAAAAATGCTAGTATGAAGCAATGATTTGTACATCACCGTTGGCTTAGTTAGCTACAGTAAAATATCACTATATAAAACAACACCTTAACAAAATCTTCTATTGAAACATTAAGTGTAAGTGACAATGACGTTAAATGGACTCAAGAAACCAGGCCAGTTACTGGACTAAGTTCCCAAGAAAAGAATCAATAAAATGTTTAAAGTGAATCAAGTGGAAGTAAGAAGGGTCCATTAATTATTAAGTATAGGTTGCAACGGAAAAGGGAACCGAGGAATTATTAATGAGTTCCACAATTTCTTTATATGTCATCCATTGTTTTCTATCTGACACTCCAGCTTCTTTGTAAAGCGTTATTACGATGCAACGTTTTACATAGACACGTATTTTTTCTTAATATTTTTCGAGTGCCGTCACGTCTCTGTACATCCTATACTGAGCAATTACGTAGCGATCATCGCCCAATCCCAAATTAAAATTATTTTAATGTACTTAAAGACTTTTTTTAATAAAAATATTTTATTATTTTTTAATTATCTAACTGAAGGAACAATTTAATTATTGATGTTCATGTCATATTTCTATTATTAAGTAATATTGAGGTTATAGGTTCCATCGTTTTTACAAAGATTCACTAATCACTGCGACGACGATGCCGACCTAGTGCCTACCATGTTATTTCGTTTAAACGTTCCCGCATAAATGTCTTTCCGCAGACAGCCTTTTTCAAGTCAAATTAATTATTAATTGGTTTTGTAGTTAGATATTCTAGGAATCGTAGCATTTTTATATTGCAGCTATTAGAATAAATGTCTTAATCTAGGGATTTACGTCTGGCAAAGTCGTTCACCATAATTTAATTTATTATTTGAAATTGTAAAATAATTTTTCTTATAGGACAAATGCTAGCGTATTAACCTCTGCGAATTACTGTGCATTGCGAACACTTATCCTAGTAATATGAGGGAGGGTTCATAATTCTTTATTCAAAGCTATTGACTCAATGTAGCGTCCGATACAAGTTCTTAGTTAATATCTTGATTACATAAAAAAAAAATACTTATCCGAATTTTTTCTCTGTGATGATTAGTATATGTTCAGTTTTATAATCAAAATCAATAGGTTGTTATGTTCGAGAATCATAAAACAGACAGCGCCAACCCAGTCGATAATTATTGTTAATATTTAATTAAGAAAACATCACACTACGAGGCTTTGATTTCAGTTTTGTGATAAATTTTCTAGAAAAAGTGGGAAAGGAGTTGAAAATAAATTGGTCCTATTAACATAGAAAGCAGTGAAATAGGCTTAACGACTTACTCAAGTTGCTTAATAATGAAACAATGTTCCCTTTTAAACCCTCTACCTGTAGTGTACCTGTAAGTGCATACTGTAGTTGTACATATGCTGACCGAAGGGTAGTGCCGTGGCTACCAGTGACGCAGAGGACGCGGCCAGGGGTGGCTGTGCGCTGGCTAGGCTACACCCAAACTGTATTTGCTGTTGCGCACTAGTTCCGAACTAACTTTGTTGCAACCAAAAGTTTACCGAACGAACTCTTACCACAAATATGGGAATTAAATTCTGAAAACATATTGGCGATTCCATTATACCAGTGAAATGCAAGGCGAATTCAAGATTCCATTTTCTCCCTACAAAATATTGTACTTATTTATTCGAAATGTTATTGTTTTGTGAATTTGTGATACTTATTTTTTGTATTATATTAATTTGGTTTTTAAAGTATTTGTATTATTGGTGGACGTAGCTTTCTTGTGCTTGCCTTCTTAAATTGATGTGGGTTAATAAATTTTATTTCACAATAATTTTATTGTTTTTTTTTGGATTTTTTTTTTATGATGTGTTTTAATTGTAATGTAAAATTTTAAACAAATTCTCATTCAATGTTTTTTGTTTTCCAGTAATCGGCCTGTTGAAACTTCAAGACAAAAATTGAGAAAAGTACCGGTGAGTTCTGTTTAAGTAATTTTTTTATGTTAGTATCCGTATTTTTAGTTGCAACTGCAAAAAATCTGTATTACAGTTTGAGATCTGAATAAAAACAAATAGTTTAATCGTAAAGTTAGTTAGTCTTAAATAAATGTGTAATACTTGTAGTACTCTAATGTGTAACCCTTCGCAGAATGTTCGATATAGTGGTGTATTGGCAAATAAGGGGCTTTTAAATTAAAAATTAAGACAGGGACTACCTACAACGTATCTAATTTAATTTTGGAGTTGTCAATACGTTCGAAGTTTCGCGTTTGTAAAAGTTTGTCACGTAAGTTCCAGCCGCGGAGGCGGCGATGCAAGGCTAATTTATTAAAAATATCTTTGCTTATTGACATAAGCAATTTTATACAAAATTCCCACTTATATACTGTAAATTCCTTATTAACTATTAATTAGTCTTACTCATAGTTCAAGATGTCATGTGCTCTGCAAGCCTTTTTACGGGTCTTGCTGTTTGGAAAATCTATTTAAGTTGTCACTCCGCCCCTACCCACCTACCACAGACCCAATTATCATCTTGTAGTCTCCTATTCAAGGGAATCTTTAATCTTGAAATTTCTTTCGAACTAGTCATAGACAAGATATCGCTTAATATATTTCTTCTTATTCAAATAACATACTGAAGGCGTAAAAGTGCAACTCTGCAGTATTTAAAATAGCATTTATATAATCCCTGCAAAAATTCCTCCTTCGCTTTAAGAATTTTGCTCCCGCTTGATCAAAATGCTTTTACAGACCTATTAACTATCAATTAACTATTTAAAGTTAGGTCTCTTCTTTTGTTTTGTATTTTAATAACATTAAAGTTGTGATTTAAACAGCACACTTCTCTATGACGAAGTGCACAGTTCTGTACAAATCATACACATATTTTATATTCAAATATGTTATCGATCTTTTCTTATATATTGTAATATTGCTGTCGATATCCCATCATTACATTTGCGCTTGCGACGCACCATCCGACCAGCCCTGTAGTATGTAACAATTTTATTAACTAACAATCTATATCTCGTCTCTATTAAAACACCTTATTTAGTGTTAAAAGAAAATATCGTGTGAAGAGAAAGCTGGAACTTAAGTTTTTATTTATATTTTCAAAACCCGTATAGTAATTTTAAAATCTGTTCGTTTTCATTAACTAGGTATATTCTTTTTAGAGCGATGTAAAGACGTTAACGTCAATATAGACTGTTAAGCTCCCTGTTAGCAGTCACTCACATGGAGCTTCCTACTACGCAACAGTGAAACGCCTTAAGTGTTTTTACGCAAAACACAACCCTAACTCCTAGTGAGAAAGTTGAAAGTCAATGAAATACAGGCTAAGGAATCGGACTCATTTAAGAGCCGTTTAACGTGCAGATTGAAGGGCTTAGCAATTTTCTATCGTTAGTGGTCAGAAAATCATGAGATGAAATATTAATTTATTTTTATAAAATACACCTTCAGTTTTATTCATTGGAAGCCTTATTCGAAATTTAAACCTTTTCTAAATAAAAGCTTACCTAACCGGGAATCTGAAAGGCTTCCTGCCTCTTGTAAAAATAGAATCACACAATCACGACTCCAAAGCGCTGCGCCGGGGTGTTACGTATGATTAAATCATTTGCTTTCTACTTCTGCTTTATAATTCAGAAATATCGATTCGGCTATAAATATCATTGCAGTTCAGTGCTTTACTTCGTCCTTTTTGCTTCCTACCAGTGAATGCTAGGTATTAAATGGAAAGAACACAAGCTCTGTCTCGCAAAGGCTCTATTCATTGAGTCTATTAGGACCGACTGGTACATATCTAGACCGTACTCTTCTTATTATGGACTAAACTAAGTGACGGATGCGATTAGTCCTCTCGCAGATTTTATTTATTAGTTTTTAAATGTGGATTTTTTAGAATCAGGACTACTTTCTCTGACTTCATTAATGAAAATTTCAAATTATAAAATTTTGTACCAATTACTTACACCATAACCGCGACCGTTAATTTAGTGCTAGTTGAAGGAGTTTCTTTTCTTTTTTAATATAAATATCATGGTGTCTTGTCCCATCCAGAATTTGTCTTTCAAAGCATATTTAACCTGAAATATTGTGCTATGCTGCTGCAAATTTTATATAAGCCAAACGATAGTGTTAAAGTATTAGTATTAAGTATTATTATTATTCTGTCAGAAAACTTGTAATGTCGATCCGTTACTGCGAAGCGTTATTTGTCAGGCCTGGTTAGTCCCCTCTCACTGCTGCACCACTTTCTGGACGCGACTCATTAGTTGAACCGACACTGTAATCATCCACTTCCTTTAGCATTATTGGACCCACGATGCATCTTGACTGCATTAACATTGATAAATACCTATGTTTTTTATTTAATGAAAATGCTTTTTTCGATAGTTGGTATATTCGACTTTTTAATTTTTAGCAATAGCACGATGTTCTGAACTGGTAATGTTTGTTAGTAGAAGAAATATAATTGACGACAATCCCCGTTACTCTGGGGAAAATAAGTCGTAGTGTGATTAATATAATTCTTATAACACTCTACTGCTAATTTAAACTACAAGTTCTGTTTTATAACATTAAAAGAGTAATCAGATGTTGGATCGACAAGTTTTCATACTTAGGGCTGATTTACCAATAGTCAGATAAATGTTATCTGAGGAATAAAATTGTTGCTGTCACTGTCTTATACAAACATTCTGTCGCGACAGCATCATAATTATTCCCCATATAACTTTTGTCTAACTATTCAAAATCAGCTCTTAATAAAAAGATACTGTAAGCCAACGCTTCCTTTTACACAGGCGGTCTTCCATCGTCTATTTCTATTTTAATGGGATTGGAAACGTATAATATAATATTCATATATATTACAAACTGAATGGTGTTGTATGAAAGTTTAATTACATTCTGTTGAATTTTAAAGTCATATAACAATAGTATTTTTCTGATGAAACATGCTTACAATGTTGCCAATGATTTTAAAATAAACCTTGTATATATATCTATAGATATGAATGTGCCCCAGTTTTCCATAGAGGATTAGTGACTAGACCATTTAAACTATTGTGTTACGCGTTGAAGTAACATAGGCTTTTGCATAGGTCAATGTTGATTGAAATCCCCGATAACATGTTCTCAGCTCTTGTAGGTATTTGTTACGCTAAACCTAGGTAACACCGTAGCACTTAATCTATTTCGTATTTACAACAATAGTCAAAGGATGCATTTTGAATGTTTGCTCGTTACACTGAATGCCAGTCTATATTTAGCACTTCACAATAGCTTTAGCTGAAAAGATAAGCAGGCAGATAATTGAATTATTTAGTTACAATAGGGTTACTGGCTTTTCAGTAAATCTTTTTTTTTGTGGTATAACGGCGAACGAGCAGGCAGATTACCTGATGGTAAGCAATCGGCGACGCCCATGGACACACGTAACAACGAAGGAGTTGCAAGTTGGTTGCCGTCTACGATTTTGGAGATTAAGGATTGCTGAGGGGGAGGTTGGAGCCTCCCGTCCTTGTTTTACAACTCTGAAACAGCAGTTTAATTGCTATAAATATCTAATTCCCAATCCTCCAATCCTTTAATCCCTAATAGTCAACCCGAAATTCCAGCGACGCAACTGTCACTTCGACGTACGTATACTAAGATCTCACAAAAATTAATCTTCACGTGTTCTTAGAAGAATTAAACTAGTAAAAAAATCCTGAAACTCCACCATAAAATACTTAATAATGTTATTCAGGTATTAAAAATAACTTAGAAGTCAATCTATAAATATGTTTCATCATAAGTTAGTTGAGCTATAGTTTCAGGCTCAGTTACCGGGAACAGTGCTGAAGTAGGTCGTGCCAACGTAACTACACATGGTATGTTATGCCAAGTTAAAAGGGACACGTATTGCGACCGATGCACGTGAACCAATAAATTGTGAAGATAAATGACTGCAATCACTTAACTTAGTTTACTAACCGGTACTGACCTATTGTCTTACAGTACTTATTATAAGTGGTAGGTCCCGTCCTATGAATTTATCGAAGTTCAGACTAATGGCAAAACTGCCCTCGCAAAGCATCGGGGTAACTGTTAACTCAATTTTAAATGTGATAAGATTTTTGCTTAGGGGTCATCCATAAAGTACGTCACACGTAAAGGGGGAGGTGGTCGTCAAAATGTAAAATGGTGTCACAAGGGATGAAGGGCCCTAAAGTTTGAAACGTCACATTTCAAAATCATCAAATTTATAAAGGTATTTATGAAACTAAACAATATTTTCAACTCTAACAATACACAGATTAAGGATTGTTTTGTTGACCAGTTCATACACGCTCTAATGACACGCGCTGACCGCCGAAAAGCTCTTTGACGAATGCCGCCAAACACAACGTACCTCGCGTGATTTTATTGTTTCTATTTGATTCTTTTTCGATGTGAAATTGCAAAACATGTGACGCCACACTATGGGGGGTTCTGAAATGTGACCATCTGTGATAAGGACTTGGCTCAAAAAAAGTCATGAAATTCATGTGGATGGCTCCTTATACGAGTGTAGGTACTTAATGGGTGCGAGAATAAATGACGTAGTGCTAACCAAATAAGGGGATCTAGGGATAAAAACTCCTTAAACTATGACATAACAATTACCTGTCGCGCAATAGTCAGTACGACTATTGCGCAACATTTTCATATTTGCCGAGGGTGAAATCGCAATAATGAACCGGAGCAGGACAAGAACGTGCGAAGGAGATAGCACCCTGTGTACTTTTTTGTCAGGAAAAGTCTGACACTCCCAATTACCCCACCCAGGGCGATTGGCAGACATTTAAAATTCCTCGCTACAAAAAAGACCTTTCATATTTCACCATATTTGAATAACTTTATTTTTGTCGTATTCAGTTGCCGTTCATTTTGCAACTTGAGATAGAAATCTCGATACATGATTTTCATCGAATAACCTTCTTCTTATTCCGGTTAGGTATTGTGTTTTGTGCTAAATAAATATTGATGGCAGTTTCGTAAAACCAGTGACTTCCTCAATTTATATTCACGGGTTAAATAAAATTCGAAAAGTCTGACATATTTTTACCTTCTTTTTTAATGTTTTATGCCACCGAAATGATCTCGTCTGCCGGTTTATAAGTTCAATTGCAGTACAATTCATTACAATGCTGGTACTTAAACCCAGTTTCTACTATACGCATCGGAAATTAAGAGTCGAATGAAATCCAAAGTGCATAATTCTCCTACAAGTACACCTACGAATTGGTTGATTGGCAGGTTAATTATACGGTCCTTTCTGTCATAGCAATGCTATTGACATTTGGTCCTTGCAAATATGCGGCAGATTCGTAGGTAGTTGAACCTACGAAAATCTGATTTTACTCGTATGCCACTTATGATTCACGATTGTTTTAATTAAGTTCAGTAGTATTATTGAAGGATTTATGGTTTAATACGTTTTTATCAACGAAGCTCAATATTTCACTTACACAATTTTTTTAATAAATAGCAAATAGAGTATCTTTGCAATTTCTTGCAGTTTGATTACCAACGCTCCGTGCTTGTTAAGTTCCACGTAGCTCGGACTTCATCTAATTTCTTTAATTAGATAACTGACATTCATTTGCTTTGTAAGATTTTTCTGCTATGCAGCTTAGTTTATTCTTGAATTCAACTTTAAAAGTGATTCTCTTTTATTACCTACGTTTATATTTTCTCATTTATTTTAAATCTGATGTTTTGGACACTTGTCAGTTTTAAATAGCCGTGTGCTGTGGCCGTGTGACACTTCAGTGTATACTGCGAATGCTGAAAAGCTGAAAAGCACTCGAATCGTCAGGATTTAATGTAAATTATTTGTATCTAAAAAGACTTTTAACTAAGTATAAAACCTTTTAAAATTAATTATCACATTATCAGGATTTTAAAATGCCCACTGCTGAGCAATTCCACTCTTAATTTTGCTGAGCAAAGGCCCCTTCTCACACGGAGAAGGTTCGATCGTTAATCACCACGCTTGCTCAAGTCGGATTGGAGATTCAAAGTTACAATTAGAAATTACAAGTCCAGATTTTCTCACGATGTTTTCCTTCACCGTATGAGTGGTGTTTGTGTTTTTCATAGGGTTATAATCAAACTAAGAGACATTGTAATTAAAATTAGTTGATAACCAAAATAAAAAAAATAAGTACCTAGGCAGAGACTAAAATGGACTCCAACTTATTTTTAATTTGTCTTAATTACACGATTGTATCCGTTCCACGATTCACACTCGGAAAAGTTTCATGGTCCAGACGTATGCGGGCGGTGGGATACCTCATGTATTCAATCCTTGGACAGACCGTAATTGGTTTTCCAAATGCTGTCTCTGAGCGCAGCCTGCCTATTGTTCCGACTCTACGTGCACAATATTCCTCTCCAAACATTATCTAAAGCTGCCACAAAATTAATTCACGTTTTAGTAAGTCTTCTGTCAAACTTTGGAATAGGAAACGCAACCATTCAGATATTTTCTTCTTATTTTCTTTGTGGTTTTATGTATTTATGTGAAGAAAAACATTTTATATAAACCCTGCACTACGTCTGCCATGTGTTAGTAGGGAAAAATTTGATACACACATACTTAACTTTAAATCAATTTTTAGAGGAAGCGAAGATTTAATACTTGCTTGTGTTAGGCCCGACATTGCGTAGCTTGCGAAACTGCACGCATCGGTACCTATTCAGTAGTTGCGTAACTTTAATGCAATTGTTAAAGATTGATCTTTTTAAAAATCCTCTCCTACTAAGAAGTCCAAGTTTATGTCCTTAATGTAATGATTTAGCAGTCAATCATATTGTTATTTTTCCTTGTTCCAGGACGCCAACATGTCGCAGCAGTATAGTCTACGGTGGAATAACCACCAGCCGAACTTTATATCTATGTTCACGACCTTATTGAATACTCAAACTCTCGTGGACGTCACTTTGTCGGCTGATGGGAAGCAACTGCTCGCACATAAAGTTGTTTTATCTGCTTGCAGTACCTATTTCCAAGTGAGTATGTCATAGCTCGTATGGATAATATATATAAGTCTTTTAGCCCAAAAAGATAATTTAATATAATCTAACTCTCACTCTATGTCGAGTTGACAAAGTCTATTGTCCACCAGACTTATCGGCTCTGACCAGTAGTACTGGGAAGTCAGAAAATTTGTCAGACTCTGAAGCGAAAGTGAACGAACACAATAATGGAAATAGCGTTAGTAATTTGCAAGATCGTCCTCGTAACTGTAAATAACAGTTAAAAAGGTCCAATTACAAAAAGGTTTATAAAAGCCATAAGAAAATGTGCAACTATCTGCTATATAAGGGCTCCTTTTGATTTGCAATTGGACCACTGGAGATCAAACCTTTAGACTTGATTGCCCGTCCCTGGAGTTACACTAGAGCAAATCCTGAGCACTTGTCCTACTTCTCAGCAGAATCATCTATTCTTGGATTCAACAAAGATTCAGATATTGTATATTGTTTCATACTTATGAAAAATTTAAATGGAATACGCTGTCGTCGCAAAGCTCTCAAACACTTCGGAGAACTTCGAATATGGTCTTGTAGAAACGGGTAGCAATTTTCAAAGAGCACTATGTTTATTTAAACAAAGAGAAACCTAGGAAAGCTTCTGCACTAGTGCTTGCTTTAATACGAAAGTATTGCGTCGGCACGTTTTTTCCTAATAGTAAAAGTTTTTACGTTAGTAGACAATCATGGGACAGTTTGTGTCTATAATAAATTCATTACTGTTTTATATTGATTTGTTACATGCCAAAATAGTATAATGACAAACAATAATACAGTCATTGATTAATTGCTTTTAATATTCCAATTTTTGTTGCACTTTTCGGTCAGATTGTATGACGATTTCCTGTGACGTGTGCAACTATTTATAATTACTAACATATTATTCAGATTTTTTATCACAAGGTGAAACATACGCACAGACACAACATAATCATCCTCTATATAAAACTTCGGACAGCTTAAAGCTGTTAGTACACCTAAACAATTGTTCATGTTAGCCATAAAGGTTAAAATGTCCCGAAGTCCATTTTTGACGTATGTTGAATTAGTTACAACATAGAATTTAGCCTAATCCTGTCCAGATACTAGCTTCTGATAGCGGCTTCAACCGATAACATCTACCTCTATGCTGTATATATAGAGGACGCAATCTACAACTGTGGCAAGTTTCATAAAAATCTGTTCAGTAATTTTAGTGTTAAAGAGTTGCAAACATATTTCCTTCCAAACATTACGCATTTATTTCTTACTTCTTACTAATATTTTAAATGCGAAAGTTATGATGTTTGGATGTTTGTTACTCAAGGACGCCAAAACGTCTGGACGGATCTGGATGGCACAGGTGTAAGATAGACACTTTAGAATAGGATATAGGCTACTTTTTATCAACATACCACGCAGGCCAAGCCGCAGGCGGAAGCTGGTATAAGTTTAACTTCCAATGTTTCATAAAATAATTAAATTTCAAATTGTATTGTTTTTACTTCCAGTCGCTCTTCGTTGATAATCCGTCGCCACATCCAATTGTCATTCTGAAGGATGTGACGTATGCCGACCTGCGCACCATGGTCGATTTTATGTACTGTGGGGAGGTGAACGTGACTGAAGAACAGTTACCCAAGGTGAGCAAGGTTTTATCAACGATGTAAGATGTACCAAGTATTTGTCATCAATCGATTACCCTATACATTCGTGAAGTCGTCACCCGGTGCTCTTATTTAGCCTTCAAGTGATATTTATTTTATTCTACTACCAATAATAGAATACCATTTAAAACAATTTCATATAACTCAAGCTCGTACAAACTTAAATCAAACTTTTAGGTAATCATGAAATTAAAACAAAACCGAGCTCGTTAGGATGTCAAGGACCCTTGACAAATGAGAAGAAAAAATGATTAAAAAAGTAACTCAAAATTCTTTTTTTAGGTCCTGGACACAGCCAAGCTTTTAAAAATAAAGGGTTTGACGGAAATGCCAGATTCTACGTCACTGACCCGATCCCAGGGCACATCGGCTGAGTTCCAAAACCAGGGAGACTCCATGGACTCACAGAGGCAATCTCCAGCTGCTTCTCCTTCTAACAAGCGCAGACGGTATGAAACCAAGTTAACTAGTCAACAATAACCAAACAAGAATTTCTTGCTTGGAAGCGAGTCTTGGAATACAGTTGATCTCATATTTTATACCTGAATGAATGTTATATTCTAATCTGAAACCGTAACTTTTGCTGTAAAACTGACAAATGGCGTAGTAAGGCAATGCGCATAATTGCCAACAAACCAAACTTATGCCAACTTTAAACGTTTTGTTGTTAAGGCAAAATCTCTTTAAATTATTTGAGTATTAAAATTTCAGGCGAAGGAAAAGTTCGAGTGGTTCTACTTCATTAAATGTGGTGGAAAACGAACAAGGCCGCGCTGACGTTGCCGCTCAGACGGTAGATGCGATCACGTTAAGCAGCGTGCCACAACAACGGCGCATGCGCGAATACCACGAAATCAGAACCATCGACAACTCGCAACAGGTAGACGACGTCAGTAAATCCATTTTTATTTTCTTTTTTTTTTAGTTTTATATATAGTTATAAGTCTGCTAGGACCCATTTTAGCATAGATACAAAAAAAATTAAGTTCTTATTCAGTTTTTTGTCCCAACTCGAACGGTCAGGTTGTGGTGGCTTGTCAAATAGCGCACACGTTATTTGACAAGACACCGCCTCAATCGACCAATCCAAGCGTAAAAGAGCGTGACAATTGTAATATAACAGGCCTTTCTAAGCCTCCTTACGTGTATCGAGAGTTTCAAATAACATCGTGCATTTACTCAGCCAAGGTTGAGTATTTGCGAGGCATTTCACTGAATACTATCCACTTTTCACCAGTTATTATGCAACCTAGGTGGACTTGCGATATAACGTCAATTATTGTGTTTTTGAAATAATTATTTTACAGGTAGTTATTACTATAGAATACGAATTTCGAACTCGTGTATCCCTGTATAAGTATTGTTTTTATTATTTTTATGCATTTTATATTTCCCCGTGATTTCAGACCACGGAACAAGACCTCAACGTTGAGCAGATCGGACTAGAGAACACTCCCACAGCGATACCACAAGGTAACGATCACAATTTTGTCCCTGTGTGATGGCTCACATAATTTTCATGTCAATTAACGCGTGTATAGCCCATTAAAATTCCTAATTAATGAAATACTAATAAAAAAAAATACTTGTGTTTAGTCATGTAATAAAATGCCTTATAAATACAATAATATCTGACAGTTTGTTGACGAATACTTGAGTCGGTTTGTACGGGATAAGAATATATCGCTACACAATATTTATACTGGTAGCATATCGATCGTTTTATCAAAAATATATAAATTCGGGTGTTCATATGTTACAAAACGTCAACTAGCTGTTGTTCTAACATGATGCCAAGATATTTAGGATCGATAAAATAGTTAGGCTATGTTATACGGCGATAGTGTGTTGACCAATGTCATTCTATTGGTAACTAAACTTTTGACAGCGACAGTGATTGGGCTGACAGGACCATACTCGCCAGTGGTGCCACCTGGTGAGTGAAAAATCGATAGCTCTCATTCAATATACTGTGTACCCACACAAGAGCTTTGCAACACATGGATGGAAAACTGCTTCGGGGTTGCAAGCCCCATCGACTTGTAACCGTGAGATGTCAGACACCTACAATCCTAAAACTTTCCACTGCATACATCGCCATCACACATCGACTCTGACTCATTCATCTTTATTTAATTTTATTTACCCTTTTTTTACTTTTTGCGAATAGTAAATGTGGTTCGTTGTAGCTTTTAATGTTGTCCAAATGTCCTTTTACCTGTTAGATGTTCGTTTACATTTCCAATGTTTAATAACATTGGGTACCGTGTATTAGCGATGTTTCTATAGAACTCTCTCGTCTCTCTTTATACTTCGACAATCTGCAATTTTCAGCCTTATTGTTGTCTATCACCGTTAAGTGGAATGTATAGCATGATATAATAAACTATAAACTTCAGCGCATATTACTGGACTGCTGAGCGATTACGTATTTTCAATCTTCATCTAATAAAATAAATTATTACAAACCCAATGCGTTGTCGCTATTATAATTACGTCTGGGAACATGTACTGAGCTAGTCATACCTATTTCTTATATATTTTTTGTGTTTTAAATCATCTTTCTCGATCAAAATGTCTTTATATAACTAAAGTACATTTATGAAAATTAATAGTGCGGTCACACTGCCTGTTGGTTCAGGGATTTATTCATTTTAGAACATCTTTACTAAGATGTGTCTAGATTTGTTACAACAGTGTGGGAACGCCCTATGACTCATCAAAGATCTACAAATGATGTTCAATCAGTACAATATGTTCAAATTATCTATGCGTTTCGTTATTTAATACTACTTAATACGAATTTGATTTTGTCAAATTAATAATCCAAGTATATATAGTATAACTTGGGTATAACTTGCAAAACGATATACTAGCAATTCAAGTTATTGAATACGGTAATGTTGCACCGAACCTACGGTGAGGTGCTAAAATATAGATAAATATTTATTTATAAAAGGCATCAAATACTAATATTTCTCAAAATAAAAGTATTAAACATCATCCGTTTCTCATTCATCTCTAAAACGTAACAATCATCATCTGCTTCTATTCTATGCTTTATGTATGTACTACGCGCATGCACCGTCCTACACGTAGATAGTGATTCTGATTACCGACCAGTGTCACGTGGACCATGGCCGTACTCACCCGTGCACGTCCACTGGTACATTTTACTAAAAACAAACAATTACGTGCTCCTAACCAATAAAATAAACACACAATATTGGTGTGACTATAATACATACGTAGCTAAACACAAGAGAACATAATTTCTCAAAAATATACATAAAGCATAAAGGAAGCCCATCGTACTTATAATCGTTATATCGGGCGACGTTTTACTTTCCAGGGAAGGGAGATCAATGAGAAACCGTTTGTTTAAACTTTAACTCAGAAATATTACACTGTATCTAGAGAGTTTTATTAAAATACGTACATTTATCTCTCTTCCCAGGAGGCCAATGGACTATGATGGAGCATTCGTATCCGCGGTACACAAACGCGTGCTTAGGAGCGGGCGCGTTGCAGCAGGACCCAGGCATGTACATCAATAATGTGATCAACCCGCACATGGACGGCGACATCAACTACGGCCAGAGCCTCGGCGTGGCTGGTCCCTCGCCAGGCCCCTCCTGCGTCGACGTGCAAGCCGCGCAGGAACCCAACCCCACGCCCACCCCCAAGCGACGACGAACCACCAACCCACAATCTGAAGAAAACTTCCAGAGGGCTTTAGAGGCTGTGCGTTTCGGAGGAATAGGTTTCTGTAAGGCTGCTCGAATGTTTGGCGTTAACAATAGGACCTTATGGCTTGAGTATAAGAAGAAAGGATACCCGAATAACAGGCCCAGTATTAAGAGCAGGATCAAGCGCGAACACACGACTCCGCCGCCCGAGCACAAGGAGGAACAGCAACTGCCGGAGCAGCAGATGGCGCTGGTGTGCCCGCAGCATCAGGTGCCGCCCGGGTTCATCGAGTCTAACGCCGCGCACGGCTTCCCCTTGCAGGGCGTGGCGCACAACTCGCCTCTCAACATTTTGGGAGTGAATTTCAACTCAATGCAATAGAACGCGGCCTGCGGCGTGTCAGCTGACGAGTCGTACTCGTTGTGACACGAGTGGCAAGGCGCGGACTACGGGCACCACCAGCCCTACATGGCGCCTTCGCCCCCGCATGCCGCCCTCGCGCCGCCGCGCTATGAGCACTTGTACATGCATCTTGCGTTGTAAATATTAGTTCGAACACGTAACGTACTTACTATCGGTTTGGCTGTGGGCTTACAGATCCTCACTTACTGTTCATGTATCTCGGGTGACTTAGATGGTTGCATCGATTTAATATTCTGCATGTATTGGAGTGTTCACGTGACAGAGTACCCTGGTATATGAATTTGTAAGTTAACAGTATTGTAACTGGGGTGTGTCGTTGTATTAATAGGCAATAAACTAAAGCAATGTTTTCCATTTTGTAGCGGAACGGACTTTTACGCATTTTTTGGTGTAATAACGACACACGCTCGAGTTCTAAAGGGTTTAATGGTTCATAAAGGACGGCATGAGACTTAAGATAAAAACTATTACCTATAAGTGAACGCATTGATGCATCATACGTTATTTATGCCCCTGATAGGGTAAGCGCCACAGCCGTAGAATTGCCATGAAAAACGTATTTTGTAGATCTCAATAGGACCGTAAGTTATAAACTGTTCGGTAAACCAGTGTTTTTTACAATTAATATAGTGCACAACCGTAGTGTTATGTATAGTCGTCGGATCGAATGTGATAGCGAATTTATTATTGTGTAACTCCCGCTTTGGTTGCAACACTGGATACACAGTTTCAATAAGTTCGTCGTTATTCTTGCAATAATATTAATAATGATAACCTACGGTACTTTGAATTAGTTGGCGTAACGATACAGGTGCGTATCGATGTATTAGACCATATCAAAACATATTTTTGCAGCTAGTTGTGTCAATGTGTAGGGATATAAATAATGGTGAGTCGACTAGTTTTAAGGAAATTCACACTTACCACTGTTAGTTTAGCGTTAATAGGAATCGATACTCGCCGAGTTTCGCCAAGTGCCACGGTAACGTTGTAGTTGCTTGAGCTGGCTCGTCATGGATGGATGTTCGCCAATGCGCAAGTTCAATGCCCTCACGTCGTCACTTCTTGTTGTTCAACAGTTATTTTGACATTCAAAGCTAGTAATATCATCACATATTCTTGACGCATATTATGATAAGTAGGAAATATGATTAAATCGGCGATTCGGCTGATATTGTGACTGACAAGTTGGTAGGGCATTGAGAGGCATGCAAAGATTTAGTTTGTAAGTTCTGAGTGGCAGGTTACACACAATTTTATTAATAACTACCTCTATATATAAGTATTTTAATGATAGACTGGGTGATTTTGTCTAATGGAACTTCAAGGACGACAATCCTCACAACAATAATACGTAGCAATTATTTACAGCATTCAGCACGTCTAACAAATAGAAGTCGTGATGTAAAATATTATGTAAAAGTACTTAATTCAAAAACCAAAGTCCGTCAATAGAAAAGCAACAAAACTTTTTAATATTGTTAGTGTATTCTTGTATAAGGAAAATGTGCCGTCTACAACAAACTTCTTGAGACACAGCCAAGTGACAGAATGCAGATTTTGTTGATACAGTTCCGTTTTTACCTGTTGGGTACGGATCCGTAAAATTGTTAAAAGAACGGTGCAACTATTGAATTAGGCAACTAATTATTATGTCGTCTCCTTGAAGTAATATTTACAAGTAACTTGAATCATGTGTATATATATTATAATATGTATGTTTTATGAATTCGTTCAGTAGTCACCTAAATCAAAGTACCTATAGTGTGATTTTCATACTATTATTTTGGAAACGTGGTGGTGTGTCGGCAAAGGTAGTATTAAAAAGAAGTATCTGTTACGTGTGGCTTGGCCGTGGCGAGCCATAGGGAGGGCGAAGTTCTCAGTAGGGTTGTGTTCGCATGTGCTCAGTAGATAGGTCACTCGTTGTAACACAAAATACATAATTACAATCATTTAGCCGCTAAGGCATTCGTAACCTCAAATGATGATCAAAGTTTCTAGTATAGCTATAAGGAATTTCAATGTTCAAGGTTATTCTTCATTATTTGATTTTGCTACTCACGCATACATAACAGTTGTGTGCAGGTACAATAATAATAGATCAAGATATCCTAAAAATACATTTTGATAATGATATTTTTACGTACTTATCGTGTAAGTACATCCACTAATTTAGTATGATGAATATACTAGGAGAATGTATTATTACATTATATTTTTGTTTATAAATCAGGTTTCATAAGATGAAGAAACACACCGCCACTTCGGTTGTATAACATTTATTATACGAATTTCAATGAAACACCAATTTTATATATCGATTTTTATTTTTACAATTACTAATGTCGGATGATGGTTATATTTTTAATATTGAATACCAGCCAGTGATATGAGATGCCAGTAGTAATAATAATAATACATGAAAACGTTCAGAACCTTTTTGCATTTACGTTGGACTGATAAAATTGCACATATCTTTTGTACGTGATGTTTGCGTTACATGTAGTGCGGGTATGAAGCGCCGAGGTACGCTTGGCGTGACAGCACGTCTCACGCGAACAGGAACAATATTACCAGAGATCTCTATCGTGTAAAATAATTAGGTATTAGATCATTATGCATTTATAGTGTAAGTTACTGTTACTAGTTAGGCATAAGTGGTGCCCGTGACGTAACATGTAGGTTGTCTCGCGAGCGGAACTTGTCGTGCGTCATAAAATTGTTGTAAGATTTAATCATGTCCCATTTTTGTTTATCAGCCTTTTTGATACTTAGATACTACATGACTACGCCCATTTCTCATTATTCTAGTATTAAGCCTAACGTCGCCATAATTATGAATAATGAATGTGATTTTATTATGATCTATTATGAATTATCAGTAGTAATACATTAAGTGAATTTGAGCTCTATGTACAGTAACGGTAAGTTGAGACGCCGAATTGAATAAAGAAAGATGTAATGGATGGACGGTCTCACCTCTCATATATGTAAATTTTATTAATCTTGTAGTTTTCGTGCTCGAATTTAATGTTCCCTAACGCTTTGCTCAATTTGATTCGTTTATTGTTTACTTGATGGCAGTTAGCTGGCGTGTTGCTTATGACGACAGTCGGTCCGCAAGCGAGTACAATTCGTGATCTTGTTACTAACGTCATTTAGAAGTATTACTTTTTTATTTTTTAAATAAATTAAGGAGTATTATATTTTTATATTCGCCTAGATTTACAACGATAATAACCAGTTTCGGCGTTTGCGATCTCTGTATTTTTTTTAATGATTTTGACTGATTTTTGAAATAATTTAGAAAGTTTTTCTCGTTTAAGCTGGCAACATAGCTGCTTCGTTTCGGAGGTCATTCAAATTGTAAATATAATATGTATATAATTGAATATGTATCCCTGAATGTTGCTCTGAATAGCGTGTATCTCGAAAGACTGCTCAGAAATGGAAAGTAAATGTTTTCTAATAATGATACTGAACTCTATAATCTGGAATTAGGGCTTTTATAATAAGTATGTATGCAAACAGTATTCGATATGAAAATATTTAGGTAATTAATTATACATTAAAAATGAACCGCCATACATTTCTAATCCTTTAGGAAGCACAGGTCCCTGAGTATTGAACACCCAAGTGTTCAATACTCAGGGGCCTGTGCTTGCTGTGCTTGCTTGGGGCAGTTACCAATAACTGCATCCAAGTTAAATGGATCAAGTTATGTTGTAACTGTGTTTTACTCGTAGTGTCGATGTATTGTTGTGTTAACTGTTTTTTCCTCTTCGTTTAGTGTTCAGATTATAGAGAAGGAACTGCTCTCGCATTTATTATGATTTTCTCTCTGCTTTATTAATTAAGTGCCATTCAAGGTGATTTTAAAGTATTATGTTGGTCAACAAGTAATTGGCCGTGAAATATGTGTTACCAGATGACAAAAATGATTTAGTTACAGTCTCATTTGTGGGTGTTCCTAGATAAGGTGATCTAGTATTATTTTTAGGTAATACATTTACGTATGATACCAGTTTTAATTAGATTAATAAGGCACTTCGATGAGCTAGTTGAAAGCATTTGAACTCAACACATTTATATATTAAGTTATGAGTTCGCAAATACAATAAATCAATGAAATTCTTTTGATTTCATTTGACTTTTTTTGAAGACAGCTTTATCATGTGTTTCATTTCATTTATAATCTAATAGTATTAAAAAGCAGCTATTTTAAACTAATCGTTACTACGAATATTTTTTTTTATTTTTTGTTTATCCAATTACATCACATTATGTTATGTATCAGTATTCCTTTTTTTAGCTCGAAACGAACAAATATTTAAGTTATTATTTATCGATAACTTCTGTCTAATTGCACCCACACACGAGACACTGATTTTTATGTACCAGTGTTTTTCGAAATAGTAATTATAATCAGTAATATTAAAATGTATATTACTATATTGAATGATTGTGGATCGTAGGCAAGTCGACAGTCGTGGACATGACGGCAAATACTAAAACAACAACCAATGCGCTTGTGTTTACGGTATTGCACGTATTCTCAATATATTTCATAATTTGATGCCTTATAATGCAGACAGAAAGCAATATTTTTATAATAATAATAAATAATAGAAGTAATCCAAGTCAATGTTCACGATTGTCGAAATAATAAGGTTGTTCATATACCTACTTACTGGCAAAATTTGTGAATTTTGTGCTTAGCACTAATAATAACTGTTCTATACCAAAATAGATAATAAATAATTTTGATTATTTTGTACTTAATTTCTTTCAATTTTATCCTACTCCTATGGGATTCATAAATCCTCTTCAAGTAATTATGAGGTCCATATCGATAACATTGGCTCCAATGTCTAGACTGGAGATGTCTTGCTAAATAATAGAAGCCACTTGTGTTCCTCAAAGACTTCATGGGATGGGTGAATCACTAAGCGTTTATAGCATTTCTGTTACCTAATAAAATTAATATACAAGTTCTGAATATCTTATGTCAAGCCTGTAGGCAGTTATCTTTCTTTGTGACGTATATATAACATATGTATCCTTTTAATAAATGATTTGCTGAACTCACGAACTCCGTAATACCTTGTCAAGTTTTATATATCGAATTTGAGAATACAAAATGTAGAACTTTAAACTGGAACAATGTTAGGCTTGTAGATAACTTTAATGTTGACTAAACTCACTGGAATTTTCCTCTATTTAATAGATAATATTATATAATTAAAACCTCGCCTTCAATCACTCAACACACACTCACAAAGAGAACCGTTTAAAAACCGTTGCGTAGTTTTAAAGATTGAAGTATATATAGGAACTTAGAGAGTTAAGACTAGATTAGCTAAAACAAGGTCTGATAAAGTTTGTTATGGAAAATTATCCGTTATATTAAAGTCATTTTAGACCTTGGTATAAAGGTACCTTTAGTACTAACTTTCCTTAAAATCTGTTAAATAGATTCCGATATTTTGGACCTGAAAGAATGTAGGGATACCGAAGCCACATACACGATATACAGTTTACCAGTGAACAGAAATACAGTTTAAATTAAAATCTTTAATAAAATTATTGTGTCATACAGTACTTATTTTATATTATTTACTTAACAATACTACTTTACTTTTCCATTATCATTTCAATTTATCTCCTCCCACAAGTCTGCTAACCCCTACCAATGCTTAATTTATATCAATTTCACAAAATAGAGTTGTCCTACACATAATAATACATTATTAACTCATTGCAACTATAAACCAGCTTTCCAAAACTGCTTATTTGTGGGTGTTGTCATCTATTAGACGTCCTGCATCTAACTATAGAAATTACATCAATGTCTTATTTCTATTATCATTGTTTATTTATCATGGTTAGTTTAAATTATACAAGTGACAAATCAATTTAGACCAAGTTATTTTAGCCCCACCTAGAGAAAATAAGAAATAATTTAATTATTAAAGTAAAGCAACAGATTGTATGGAGAACAAGCAATAAAATCCATGGTTACTCTTTGCAGTCAATTTGCTTTTATTTGCCTTCAAATACTTGTATAGCTATCGCTTATTGTAGCTCGACATAATACCATATACCAAACAAAAGATATTATGATTTAGTGATTCACAGCTTTGTTTCTATTTTATTTAAACTGTCTTTTTTGCTGTATGGAATGATATAGCTCCAGCCACGGTGAACTCAGACGTCGGTTGGCACCGGCGGACCAAGCACTTCAAGCGACAGTCGCGCGTGCCTGATGAGCAGAACATACGCAAGCAGACCTCCGAACCCCTCCCACCGACACCCGCAGTGTCCAAAGCTGCGCCCACGCTGCAGAAACACGAGTCTTACCCACAGTACAGTGCCTCTAAGGTAAACATCTATCTATATTTTTGTACCTATGAAGCAGATAAAATAATCACAACATCGCTGATACGACTATTTTTATTTCGCATAGTCGGTTAAAACCTAGCTGCTTCGGACCCAAAAGTAATCTCTCACCAACAAACAAAATGAGAGGTGATTTGAGAATATTGAATAAAAATCTAATCTTTACGATTCTACGAGAAAAATTTCGGAAATCGAAGATTATGCAGATACCACAAAAATGTATTTCTAATATTGTCCATAATTTATAAAAATTCGACTACGACTTTTCAGTTATAAAAACGTTCCACTAAGAAGTTATAGATGCAGGTCCAATACATCATCATCAATTTATATTGCCCAACTCAATGCAGAGCAAACTCACCATAACGTTTGTATAATGAATTTACAGGCTACTCTAACACGGAAGCCTCGACTGGAGCAAGAAGTTGGTTCATTGTTGATCCGGGCGGTGTCGACCACCGAGCGACAGTCCTCGACGAGCACGAGTGTGAGCGCGACCAGCGCAACGAGCGCGTCGAGCGCGGCGATGGCGGCCACGTCTGCGTCCGCTTCCTTCGAGTCCACGGCGTCCGACGCGTCGCAGACGCAGCGCGCCAGCCACACGCCCGCCGTGCGCTCGGGCCCGCCGCTCAGCTGCAACTTCTGCTGGAACACCGTCGACGAGTGCGGCAGGATCCTCCGGCGGAAGACGCAGTACCACTGCCCCGAGTGCCGCACTAACCTCTGCATCGTGCCCTGTTTCCACGAGTACCACGACGGTCCCGAGAGCGACTCCAATACTAACACTAACGCTCGGTGAAGTTACGTCTCCCACGATGGTACGAGGCGTTTGTCAAAGAAATGGTGGGTGTTCAGCGTGAACCGTGTCTGAGCAGTGCCGTGCGACGATACTGCTGTATTCAGGAATGATTCGATATCTTCTATGGATTGTCTTTGTGGTCGATGTTTGATCGGAGGGACTCACTGTTATAGTTAATGCTTTCAGTAGGGTACTTAGTATCAAGGTGTCAGCCAGTTTTAATATTCCGGAGATAATTAACGTACAACGTAGAGCTTTTAGATATAAAGTGTTTAATTGTTCGAATTCTTCGTGTTCATATCTATCTATTGTATGTGTCACGATAATTAACCAATAGTCTTTCATGTGAAGTGGTACTATAAAAGTATAAAAGTTTTAAACAAGTTCATTCGTAGATGTATGTCGGCGACACATTTTCTTGATCCATGATCTCGATTGTAGTAGGAATAATATTATGAGTACACCAAACTAGCAAACTTATTTATAAATTATTGTCTATACACAGGATGCTCGGACTTGTACTTGTAATCATATTTAGTCGTTGTGCTAAATGAAAATACATAACAGTAGCTATCACACGGAACTCAGTTTCATGTTATGTGTTGTAAGTAGGAGTTAATATTTTGATCTTGGTGTCTATAACGATGTATTTGATTCGATGTCAGGTGAAAGTAGCCGTGAGAAATAATCAATGTCGTTCTATGCATATTTAACAATATAACTACTTTAAATTATTTCAGAAGCATGCTGAATGCTTAAAATGAGCTCAAAGATTGACAATCAGAGCTTGAAAACCTTTTAAATATATTTAAAAAATATCTATTTTTGAAAGATTCCTCTTTCTGCCAACGATGGTAATTACAAAATGGCTACCAATATTATACAATGTTGGCGCCAAACATAATATTCTGGAAGTAAGTTATGAACAAAACAATGTATGTAACGATCTCTGTGACTCGTACAGAACGTATTTTCTTATACCTTTACTATATATAAGAACACGACCTTTCTTTGGCAAATGCACTTTCTTCGAGGAATTTTGTAATGTGTAAATATTATATTATATCGTTAGTCCTAACTAAAAATGTTACGGTCCGGCCGTTTTGACATGTTTATAAATAAACCTCTATCTTAATGAACTGGTTTCTTATTGTATTAACTATTGATAATTTCGGTACACGGGAGCTGGATATAAGTGAATTAATTACTAATGTTTGTGTACCGATGTAAATATAAGTAATGTGCGTGTCATACACTGTTGTTAGTTATGTACAGGGTGGAAATTTATTTATCTGCACTCCGTTATTAAACTCGCCCCATATACGCAATATTGTTTTCCAATAAACTGTTATAACACCTGTTAAATGGGCTGAGAATTATTAGTAAGAAGTGCAGATAATTAAATTGGTATATAAATAACTCTTGTAAACATAA